GCGAGGACCCGGACGCGCCCTGCCCCAGCCCGGCTGGCGGCGGGGACGCGCGGCACCGCCACTTGGCCCTGGACGGGCGGCCCCCGCGCGTAGCCTGGGCCGAACGCCTGGTCCGCGGGCTTCGAGGTAAGCATGACCTGGGGCCCGACCGGGCCAGCACCCACCCTGCGCCCCGCGGAACCCCACCACGCCGCCTAGGTGCAAGGACAGGGTCTCTCTCTGAAGAGACAGGTCTCTCTCTGTCTCGTTGACTTTGGAAAAGATGTGAAAGCAGTAGTGGGGTACATCTGGCGCTTTGCGTTGGGCAGATTGAGTCTTGCTTCTAGTACAGTGGTTACCACTAACTGCATATTTGCTTACGTCATAAAATTATTATTATTATTTATTTATTTTTTTTTTGGTGGAACTGGAGATTGAACTCAGGCCCTTGTGCTTGCCAGGGAAGCACTTATTCCACTGAGCCATCTCCCCGGCCCTTACGTCATAAAATCACAAAGAAAATTTTATACTGTACTAGTACCCTGATGTTACACAGCCCCTAACGCTTCGTTGTGTCCTTACTTCGTTCCACGAAGAATAATGATACAGTCACCCGAATTCATGGGAGGAGTGTGCCCTTAAGCTGTCACTGATGTTTTAGTGGTGGCGTCTGTGATTATTTAGAGGACGAAGAGTTGTTGACCATATCACTAATGGAATAAAATAATGCCCAAAAACAAAACTTGACCATTTCTAATTCTAGACATGCCACGGACTGCTTGTCCTCTGCCTTTGCAACTGTTTTTCAGAAACAGTTGCAAAGACAAGCTTATATTGTTTCAAGATATTGCAAATATGTTTTTAAAAGTTGGATGTGTTTAAATAACAATTAATGTTCTTTGCAATGCCAACTAAATAAAATCTTGATATATGCCCTGATCTATGTGAGGCGCTCAATCACCCAGCTCTGTAAAGCATAAGGGAGGAATTCTCAACTTTCTCAGTGCCTAGTAAGAGGATGCAGGTTTTTCAATAGCAAATAGGATCCTGCTTTGCAAAACTGTGTCAGAGACATAGAGTGTTGAATTGACCACCACTTTGGTTTTTTAGGGGGGTGGCTCCGAGGATTGAACCCCAGGGACTATATCACTGAGCTGCATGAGGCTCTTATTTTGAGACAGTCTCATCTAACTTGCCTAGGCTTAGATGAGAATCTCGTGTTGCACCAACTACAACCGAATGAACCCCCATTTTTGAGTTTCCATTCTCGGTTCTTTTGTTCTCTCTGTCCTTCTCTGTCAGTTTTGAAAATTTTGCCCTAAACCCATAAAGATGGTGTCATAGCAGCATAAATAAGATTTAAATCCCAGTTATGCTGCTCACTGGCTCTGACACCTTGAGCAAGTTACTTAACTTTCCTTGTGTGCTCTCTGAGCCTTAAATTTTGCATCTATTAGAAAGGAAACAATTCTAGCACTTAGTTTTTGATTTGTAGGAAGAATTGAATAAGACATAAAAATGGGTAGTGTCTTGGTTACTTTCTGAATATTGGAACAAAATACCTAGATGCTCACGAGTTAAAGAAGGAAGGGTCTGGGCTGGGGAGATAGCTCAGTGGAATAAGTGCTTGCCTGGCAGGTGTAAGGTCTTGAGTTCAATCCCTGGTACCACAGGGGGAGGCGGGGGGAGAAGAAGAAGAAGAAGGAAGGGTCTGTTTGAGCTCACAGTTTGGAGGGGTCTCAGTCTATAGTAGGCTGGCTCCAAGAGAGGGCAGCGAGGCAGAGGACAAGCAGTCCATGGCATGTTAGGCAAAGCAGCAAACAGCTGCCTGCCCTCTTCCCTTCTTATTCCATCCAGACTACAAACCTGTTGACTGGTGCCACTGACACGCAGTGTGGATCTTCGGTCTTCATTAAATCCGTTCGGTCACACCCGGAACTATACTAATCCAGTTAGAGGACTGATCCCGGTGTCACACCTTTAAGCCAGCGTCACACACTCATGATCTAGCCACCTCTGTGAATCCGCACCTGTGAGCACATAAGGCTCTAGAGGACATCTAGGTATAAATCGTAATAGGTAGTGAGTCTGCGCCATAGTATGAGTGCTCCTTGACTCGTGCAAACTATAAAAGTATGTCTGGGCACTTCTTTTACATTCATGCTTGTATTTGTTAATTTGATTTAGGACATGATGGAAATCAGAGGACCCTTTTGATAACCCAAGTGAACAAAATACCAATACTTTATACAGTTCAAAATTTTATTAAAACGGTTCAGCGAGATAGCTCAGCAGACTAAGGACCTGCCTAGGCAAGTGCAGGGACCAAGTTTCCATCAATTGAGCTGGCCACTGAGACGGAGCACAATGGCGCTGAAAACAGGAGGATCACTACGAGTTCGAGCTGTGTAGTGAGGCCCTGTACCAAATCCATTAAAAAAAATATTAAAACAAATTATATATCACTTTACACTTTGTAAAATGTGCTTTTAAAAAGCATTTACTGAATATTCACAGAAGTTTCCCATAAGTTAATAATGGCCAGTCACGACCTTGTAACTGAGCATTTGACAATACACTTAACCTTCACTAAACTCAGGGGAGTAAGATGATATAAGTATATATTTTATATGAGGTCTATACATGTATTTCCTTTGAGGAAACATTTCAGGAATAGTTACTAAGCTTAGAGTCCTAAAACCTCTTGTCCAGCTGTAAACGTGGAAGCTTCCAGATGGCTGAGTGCTGACAGTCCCTGAGGTGGCACTCAGCCCTGCTCTTCCCAGGCTGGCTCCAGACAGCTCTTCATGTTTTCCTCATTCTGTTTGATAACTGGTAAACGTAAGAAATAATAGCACCCAAATGGTGGTTTAATTCTTAGGAGACCAGACTAAATATATTTTTAATTATAGAAAAATATTAAATAAAATTTGCTTTATCAGTTTCTGTCATGAAGGAATTATAGTTGACATTTTTGTCACTTATTTTAAAAGTAGCACTTATTAAATACTTAGAAATAGAGTAGTGTATCACCATTTTCCTTGGACACAACCCACAAATGTGAGAAAGTCAATGAAGAAGTTGTGGTTTTTTACTCCTCTTGGAATAACAATGGTGGAAATTTTGGATGCTCATGCTAGCAGTGCCTTAGGATCACAACAGCAAGCAAATTTTGGAATGTTTAAAGTAGGGGAGGACCAGGGAGATAGCTTAGCTCAGCAGCTTAAGCACCTGCCTGGGGAGCACAAGGTCCTGAGTTTGATCCCCAGTACTGCAAAAAGAAAGAAGGGGGAGGAAGGAAAGAGAGATTACTTAAGTTTAGACTGATCAGAAGCTTCCCAAGGATCTTTATAAAGCTGCTCAGACCTCCAGGGCCTCCCCTCCTCATTGGTTAGAATGAAGGAGTTGAATTTAGTTTCCAAGGTTCCTTCTAGCTTCAGCATATCCTGGTTGTTTAGTAACACCAATTCCAAATGAAAAACAGGTAGTCCTTTCCGCTGGCTGTACTGTAAGTGGGTCTGCTGCCTTAGCAGAAGCGAGAGAGTCAAGAAAGCAGAAATGCCGGAGGCCTGCATTCCTGCACGTTAAGAAACAGATGAATGTTTCAGAGCAGGGGCAGGGCGTCTTGGTGGAGAATGAAGTCATCTTAGTGGTGTCCAAGTGGCCTGCAAAGGAGACACCAAAGCAGGTGACCAGGTGGCCAACAGCCAGGGAGGAGATCCTGATGGCCTGGACCAGAGAAAGCAAAGGCTGTCTCACGGGTGACAGACAGTGCCCAGACATGAAGATGCCCAGACATGAAGTCTGTTAAATTTGTCTGACTTTCTAAAACTGAATATTTATCATTAGTGTGTCAATTTGGTATTTGTTGTTTTAGACATGGATGCTTGGGCTTTTTCTTGTTGTTTCTATTGCTATTTCTAGAGAAATCACAAAATATAACTTGCTTATCCCTTATCCAAAATGCAGGCTTGGGATATAGCTCAGCAGTATAAGTGCCTGTCTGGAGAGTTCAAGGTCCTGAGTTCGATCCCCAGTACCATGTGGTGGCGGGGATATATATATATATATATATATAGTTTTCCCCAACTCCACTTGACTTACTGATACAGAGAGAAAAACTGGTCTCGGGTGGGTGAGCTCCAAACCATACAAGGAACCTCCAAATGACATAGAGAAAAACAGTCTCTGGACCTGACCTGCACAAGTTCGTGTTCTCTAAAACCGAAGAATGAATTTTAGGAACAAACGGAGGTTATGAGCAGAATACATTTATTGAGAGAGAGAAAGCTCCTGTCCAAGAGAGGAACAGGAGGGGGGCCCGAGCGGGTAGTTCCCCCGGGAAGCTATCTCTTCCAGGGACTTTTATAGTGTAAAACCATGTGGGGCTAACGTGGAGAGAATGGGAACTCGCTTAGGTGGGCAGGAGGTGGGACAAAACTATGGTCAACCAATGGGATTACATAAGGGACAGGGTCTTTTCCTGTTGGGGTTGGAATGTGGGATAGGGTCTCTTCCTATTGGGGGTTGGGCTAGTGACTCACTTGGGTCTTTCCAGGTGATTGATACCTATTTAGAATATCAATCCCAGGTGCTACTCGTTTAGCATTTGTTTGGCCTTTAGGTCTTTAGGTCTGGTTCACAGCAGGAGCATCTGTCCCTCCCACAGTTGTAAGGCATCTCATCTTGTGTGCTGTCTCCTTCCAGGGCCTGGTCCTGTCTGACTGCCTATAATATTTTTTATCTAACTCAGCTGCCTGCAATATTACCAGATCCACTCTTAAGGCAGCCTGAGCCAGCCCAAAAAAATCCTTATCCAAAATGCTTGGGCTTTGAAATGTTTTGGACTTTATTTTTCTTCAGGTTTTGGAATATGTGTATATACACGGAGGTGTCTTGATACTAAGACCCAAGTTTAAACATGAAACTCATTTCTCTTTCACGTGCCCCTTGTACCAAGAGCCTAAACAGTGATTCTGAACCTTTTAGAGACCCCGGTCCCAAACTGCAACCCACAACCCACTTATAAGTGTCAACACTATATGAACTATCCCTTACCCCTAACACTATAATTAAACCTAAATAATGAGGTTTTATTTAGAAAAAAAAACTTACACACTTGACACGTGTGCAACTGAGAGTTCTGGGTAGGTTTGCTACCAGTGGCCTAAAGTATATTTTTATACATATTTTGAGTGTACCTGTGTTTTGACTGCAACATGTCAAAGAGCAATCAGGCATGGAATTTTCTACTTGCGGGGTCATGCTGGTGTGCAGTTTCAGGCTTTGGGGCATTGTGATTTCAGATGTTTGAATTCTGGGCACTCAACCTGTACTAGCTGTTTTGGTCAGGGTGGGCTAAGCCACAAAACAAGTACCCTCCTCACATTCAGCACCCAGCAGATTAAGAGGTTCAATGTGCACTAACACTTGAGTGTTTTCTAGGTTAGCAGCAGCTCTTCTCCCATGCTTATACATGGGGACATCAGCTTCTTCCCTCATGAGGCTGTCCTGGGTCCCTGTCATCATAGGCCAGCTCAAAGCAGGACATCCCATTCTTGCAAGAGGAAAGCAAAGGAAGATCATCACTGATGTTGTCTTAAAGGTCCAGTCCTGGAAGCAGCTCCCATCTCTTCCACTTATGATCTGTTGGCCAAGTTGTTAATCCCATAACCCAGGAGACCTGCCGGGAAGGTTGGAAAGCACACTATAGCTGTGCATCCAGACAGGGATACGAGGATGTGGGTGGCCAGCTAGCAATCTCTGTGAATGTAGTGGTAGGGTGCAAGGAAAATAGTAGACCTACTTTTATTTTTCCTAAAACAATCTGACTGGACATTGAAATCAGTGTGCTGTTTGTGCCTGATAAGTGACCTTCAACACAGTCCTAATTCACCATTGTATATTGCCATTCTCTATTTATCTTGCATTTTTCTTGCCTTTCTTCTTGATGTCTAAAAGAGAACTATATTCAGTTATTGAAAAGGTCACCAAGACTTTCGAAAAGATGTGAACTTGAGCATCCAACCCGCCAATCTTGGTCATAGCTCCTTGCATCGACTTGAAGCTTTAGCGGTCTGCTTGATTTCATCACTACCAGAATGTTTTCCTAAACTAGAAGTTTCCAGCCAAGGTGAGGGAGCAGTTTTGCCTCTCAGGGGTCAGATCTGAATACCTCTTGGTTTTTACAGTTGGTGTTGGGAGGTCATTTCTCTTGCCCCAAACCCTCAAGAGCATAGTCAGGCTGATCACATGGCAGGCTAAGCACACAGAAGGTGCAGTGAGGTGAGCTAGGGACTGGGAGACCAAGACAGGAGCCGTGTCCAGGGCTGCACCCAGGCAGGTGAGCTGAGGACTGAAGCTGGCAGAATACAGACCAGCACCATGGAGGGAAAGAAAAGGGCCTGGTCTGGACAAACCTGGAACTCTGGCTTGGCGCTATTAGCACAAATAAGAAGAAGTGTCTAGAAAAGAACAATCTTCATTTTGGACCTGTGAGTGTGCACCTTATGTAAAAGGAAAATTAGCTGTGGAGATACCTCCCTGTACCTCACGGAAGCTGGCTGAGAACACGGGTTTCAGGAGTCACTCAGTTTTCTAGTCAGGCAGCCACGGACTGTTCAGGAGAAAAGGTGTCAGTAATAATGAAAAGTCATGGCTGGCTGGCTGGCTTGCTTGCTTGCTTGCTTGCTTGCTTGCTTGCTTGCTTGTTTGCTTGCTTGCTTGAAGACTGAGCCTGAGGCCTTCACGCTGAGCTGTATCGCCAGCCCTTTTAACTTTGGTTTGGTTTGGGGATGACAGAGTCTCATTAAGTCACTGAGTTGCCTCCTGGCCTAGGCTCAAACATGTACTCCTTCTGCGTTAGCCTCCTAGTGAGCCAATGTGACAGGCATGTGCCACCTCACCTGACCAAACTGCTTAACTTTCTAGAACTGTTCCTGTAATTCAAATGCTCTACATGTAATACTTCCAGTTCCCAGAAGATCCCCATAGGGAGACACTCCTGCTCTTCTTTAGAGGATGTTCAGTATGGTCGCACAGCCCACAGGTGGTGGAGCCCTCAGGGACCACAGTTTGACTCCAGAGTCCTACATTATGCTGTGTCCTATGGTTAAGGCATAGAAACTTAATGTATTTCAGATGGGACAAGAATTAACTTGAGGCAAAAAAAGAAAAAGACCGACACTGAACCTTTTGACTATGGAACATTTGATGATGAGTATTCAAAGGCAAAATGATAGCTGGGGTTAGTTTCAAAGTAAATGGGGAGAATGGTTAGGGTTTAAATGAATCAGGTTTGGCACTGAGTTGATAATTGCAGGAGATGGGTGGTGAATACAGCAGAGTTCCTTGTTATTCTCTCTTTGAGGTGTTTTCAAATATTTTCCAAAATAATAAGTTTTTGAAAGAGCAGTTGTGTTCAGAGTCAGATGTTTATTTTCAGAACATCCTATGTTTGGAGTTATCCATCCCAGAGACCGCTGATATTCATATTTAAGAAGTAGCTCGTTCAGAATGCTATTTAAGAAAGAGACTGTTTAAACAATGTGCTTTGACTTTGGGCTCTGGCATTTAGCTAAGCACACTTTTAAACATAAAGCAAGTTGAAGAGTTGTTCAGTGTCCCCCTCATTCCATGTTTTCCTGAACAGCTAGAAGCACCGTATGTGCTAAACTTGAGTAAGTACTGGACAGTTCTCCCACCATGTTGAGGCAGCTCTGAGAAAAGGCAACCACTCATTTTGAAGAATGTGGCCATTTTGGACCTGCACTCCATCCTTACTTATCCTGTCAGCTGTGCTAAACATGGAAACTAGTTAGATACAGAGCAGCTGTTTTTCTCACTTGTGGAGAATCCATCTCTCATCCATCTGAATATAAAGAAGTCTCTGTCTCTTAAGATAAACCCTACATATACACTCAGTGAGACAATGTCATGAAAAATGTAAAGGCCATAAATACATGAGGCAGATTGAGTAAATTAGGAAAATAAAACTCACAGTAATATATGAGATTATAAATAAGGGGGCTTGTTTCTTATTTGAAATGTCTTGTTCAAGGGCAAGAAGTTGTCATAGCCCTTTGTTTTTTTCTATGTAAAGACCCAGCACTGTCATTTGTGAATGTTAACGGTTATACCTATTCCTTAGTGCTTGGCTGCCCATAACCCATGGAAAAGAATGAAATTGCTGAACAAGAAGTGCAGGGAAACATCATTTCCTAATGGTACAGGCAAGCAGTCTCTAATTCCATGTGTATGTTAGGCCTGGTCTCCAAAAGAAATCTACCAGAAGAAATGATGTAGTTGTATCCAGGACTGCTGAGCCTAATCCTTGGCTGACTCTTGGTTATTCAGAATTGTAATTTTCCATGTCATCTACATTTGCAGTAATTCCTCAGTATGATAGAGTTTCAAGGAGCAAACATTCTGCTCCCTGCATTTCTTCTGCGTGAGTAATTCCCTGACAACTTCCAGGGCTTGGCAGGAGCAGCCCAGTCATAAGTTATGCTCCATTCCAGTGTTGTGAATATGTATGATGTGTAACACGGAGTCTTTGAATTCAAATGCTGATTTTCCTAAAGGAAATTTGGGAGGAAGAAGGAAATGAAATTCTCAAATTTAGGAGTAGAACTGCTACGTTATTTTAAGACCCCCAAAAAGCGTAAACATTGACAATGAAATCATTTCTTCTAAGTGAAAGCCTCTCTTCTCTCTCTTTGGTGTGATTGCAGCCTAATACTGTGTAAACTTCAGTTATTGAAAGGCTGAGGTCTGCAGAATAAAAGCCACAGGGCTTTTATGGGGCCCAAGCTTTTGTGGGGCCCAGGATGGTTTCCATCAGCGGCCAAGCTAATCTAAACTAAAAGGAGGGAGCTTGTCTTTTTTGGAAAACATGAAGGTTCTTCCAAAGAACCAGCAATGTGACTTGACCACACTGTTTATTAACAGGGGTTTGGCCGGCAACCATGTCTGCATGCTGGCTGAGTCCAGAGCCGTAACTCTGTCCAGCAGGCTCACGTGGCGTTATGTCATCTTCGCTCAGCAAGCCAAGCACTTTCCATCTGCTAAAACATAGAACATGTCTGCTGGTCATAACTGTTTCCTCCAGGAGAAAGAGAAGCTGAACAGGTTGTTGCTTTTAATTTAAAAAGTATGTGTTAGTCGGAATTTTACAAATCAGTTAAGCAAAAGAGGCTTAGTGCAGGCAACCCCTGTCAAGTTCCTCATAGGACAGAGATGAGCTCAGAGCAGCTCTTCTGCCAGAGCAACAATCAGACACTTGATGGATGTGTGCAAGTTGCTGGGTCACACCAACCAGAACTTTTTCATCAGGTGGCTTCCAGGGCCATTTACAGTCTGGTCCCACCACCTCATTAACTGGGTTTGACAGTAGGACAGCAGGTTGTGTCCTTGCTCAGGTAGGAAGGGCTCTGTGTTGTCCACGGTGGCTCACTCTCTTTTCAGTTATCCTCATCTCCTGCCCTCCTTTATTTTTACTAAGACACTTACTACCGGTCTTGGGGGTTGAGAAAATGACTGCAACCTTGCCTTGTGCTTTGCACATTTTGCCTGATGCACTCTCAACTATAAAGCACTGGTGCGGTGCCAGCTTCGCAGTAGCATTAGTTTGCTAAAAGACTTATCTTCATATATATTTATATTTCTGTGTGAGAACTTCCCGTATGCCTTGCACTCTTTACTTTGTGTTTTCTCCTGTTTTGCTATTTCTGAGCATTCTTAAATAAAATAACATCTTTTTCTCCCATTGTATTTTAAAGGCCTCTGGGGCACGAGGCTCATGGAGGAAAGCAGCACCAACCGAGAGAAGTACCTTAGAAGCCTTCTGCGGGAACTGCTCACCTACCTCCTTTTCCTCACAGTCTTGTGCATCTGTAAGTAGGCTGCTTGCTCCCACTTGTGGAGAAGTTTTGAAAATGTTTGGCCTGTACAGTCCTAATTAAGAAGAAGTATACGGGCACCTGAAGGGTCAGGCCAGCAGTGTTCTTCTTAATTTCATTTTCAGTTCTAATTTAGAATTTGGTAATGATCCTCCCACCACCACTTCAGCAGGCATTCATGAAAGCATCAGTATTGTCTAATAGATCATCTAGATAATCACCATCTAATTAGTTCATCACCATTTTCACTCCAAAAAGCATGTGGCAACCTGTCAGTCACGAAGAACTCAATTAAAAGGATCTTCACATTTCATAACAATAAATACCCGGACCAGCAAACATAAAAAGTCAGTGTAAGAACTGTGTTCCATAGGTACACTTTCCAAGTTCACCTTTCAGAAAAAACAAACAGTGCCCCCTAATGCTGCTTTTATTAACGTGTTTAAGTCTCCTTTTGGACTTGGATATGGAGTGTCAATTAAACTTCTCTAATTCCAAATCTGTAATAGTCACGAGCTTTGCCTCCACAGAAAACCTGTGCAGACTCAGACCCAGATATTCTCTTCCTTCTGTGTCTATCTGCACACCCTTCGGGAAGGCAGTCATGGCCAGGAACCAGTCTCAGAGACGTTTGCCTCCAAGTCCAGGAAGTCACAGGCAAGGGCCTTGGCCTCAGGTTCTGACAGGGTGGAGGGTGGGATTCCACCATGTCCTCCTCAGCACCCTTTATGACAACAGACCAGAAAGCAGATTTATTATGCCTGCCAACCCCGCTTTCACCAAACTCTTCTGTGATATAGGGGAGAACCAGAATTTGATCAACATTCAGTCATACCATCCTTCATATATTACAACTGATCACCTTGAATTTAAGTGCTGAAGGAAGCTTTTAATATTTACTAGATATGTGTAGAAACAAAGATAAGTAAAACATACAAGATCAAGGAAACATTTGGGTTTCTGTGTCTGTAACTGCAATCGATTGGATATCGAGAACCCCACCCTGGTGTTCCCTCATCAGTGAGCTCCTACTGTGTCTTTTCAGGAAGTCTCCCCACAGTTGCTGAGATTGACCTTTCCCAAGGGGAAACTTGGGGAAAATGTGATATTGTTCATATATACATTTATTTAAACTAAAATGATGTACATGTGAACAATGTCACCTTATTTTTTCTTACTAGTTGTGAAATTTTCCGTTATTTAGGAAGAAAGGTCTTACACTTTTGAAAATACTTTTTTTAAAAAGAAAACACAGTTTTCGTTTTTTATAAAAGCTTTATGGAGGCATAATTTACCCCTCGGAAAAGTAATCTATTTAGATATTCAGGCCACTTGTTTGTTTGTTTGTTTGTTTGTTTTTGAATGTACAGAGTTGTACAACCCCCACAATTTGATTTAACATTTTCATCTCTTCAAAAACTGTCCCCTAAACTGTCCTCTGCGGCCTGCATTTGGTGGTCAGGCCCTTTTCCCCTCAAATGTATTCAGCTGGGATTCTGGTGTGCTTTGTGGGGAAAGGGAAGGGGAGTTCGGGTTTGTATCTTTGGAGTAAAGATGCCTCCCCCTGTATCCCAGCTCCCGTCCTGCTGTCTACTTCGGGAGTTCAGCTCTGTTAGGTTTCTCATGAAAGTGCTATATTTGAAAGCATATTACATGAAATAGAAATGCCAACAAGCTAGAAATTTTCTACATATTAAAAAATTGCTGAACTGAGTTTTAAGTCGGAGGACAGTAAGATTCATTTCAGAGTTAAGGAGATGACGGCCATGTGCACCACAGATTGGACGGGAGCGCCTCTCCCCAGGTCCGCGCTTTCAGGACCCCAGACAGTCCAGATTCTGATGGCAGGCTAGCGAAGGTTGCTCTTCCCCTGGCATGTTAGAGTAGTTACCGCACCTTTAAGATAAACTTTAAAATCTTGAGAAGGACTGGCGTTTCACTAGTACTCTCTGCTGCCTCCTTCAGAGCTATCATTCCCTGTAAACATATGGCACTTCAACCTCATCAAGCCAATGAATGACCTTCAGAAAAAGTCTTCTATAATGGTCCTTTCCTATCAGCCTAGTTTCCAGTATTAAAGAAAAACATTCCCAGTATTTAACCGCATTTGTTCAGGCTCAGTGAGCGAGACTTTATTCAGCACCCTCACTAGTGGTGCAGGACTCACTGTCCCAGGGCTTGCAGTGGGGGTGGGTTTGGACTCGCCCAGCATGGGCATGTGGGGACTTAAGCCAAGGAGCAAGCTGGGGGCAGCAGATGGAAAAGGACTAAGGAAACATCAGGGGTCAGGGAATTCTGGCTGTACCCACTTGAAGATGGAGGAGGATGAGGCACCTGACCAGATACTGGGGTGGGGTTCTTACTGAATCAATTTAGCAGAGTTCTCTGCTAAAAATAGACTTTATAAGGAAGTACATAGATGGACCTAGGCGGGCCAGACTATGGTTTGGCCAAGCAAAATCTTTCTGTCTCCTCACTTCAGGACCAGCTCAGGAGCTACATCCAGAGTTCTACTGTGCCTGCTGTAGCCCCCTCCTCACTTCAGGACTACCTCTGGCATATGTGCCCACACTGGCTTCCAGCATTAGCCACCCTCACGGAAAGAGTAGGGAGCTATGATGCGTGTCCAGTGCTTGCACAAAGAGCAGCGGGCTTGACCTCAGCGGGCATTGCCACTCCTCCCTCAATTTCTCGAGTACTGTACTTCCCCCTTATAGATACGCAGAACGTCTCCTAGGAGCTGACCATAGCTAACTCTCTGCAAGCCTGGTCATTCTTTGCTTTCTATGTGACATTTTGTACTTCAGTATGACACATTCAGTATAGGTTTTAATTTTATGTCCTGGCACCTCTGTGAGGACACAGCACAGTGCAGAACTAGCAGATAATTAAGTTCCTGGGCGAAGGGCTGCCTCACTTTCAGACACTTAGCCTGTAGTCTGACCAAGGCAACTTGCCTCTGCCGTCTTTATATCAGCTATAGTTACATTTTTATGGCTGTTTAGATTTCCTCTTTGGACAAGTGAAATTTCTGAAAAAAAATCTCAGGTGGCTTGATTATATACGTATACGCATGTTTATCCATTTGTTAAATAATTTTCAGAATTTGTTCCATAAACATATTGGCTGGTTCACATTTGTTGTGGTTTGGGGGGTATGTTTATATTTTGGCTTACAACAACAGAAATTTTTTGGCATGAAGCTAAAGGCCTAAAATAAAGGTGACGCAGGCTGTGCTCCCTGGCTGCCTCAGGAGGGGGCCGCATTCTTGGCCTGCCTGGTGTGCAGGTGTCACTCCAGTCCTCTGTCTTCACATGGCCAGCCTCTTACAAGCACACCTGCCCCGTGGATTTGTAATTTTCTGGATTTACTGATGTTTTCTTTGTGGTCTAGCACATTACCAATCTTTGTACATGTTTTGCAGATAGTTGAACAAAAATAAAGCACGGAGTGAGTGCAACTCATCAAAACTACTTGGGACCAGAGTGTTTCAGCTTTTGCATTTTTCTTCTTAGAAATTGGTATATTTGCATATATACAGTGAGATATCTTGCTGGGACCCTTGAACCTATAGCCTTAATGTATTTTTTTAATGTATTTGGTACAGGATCTCACTGTGCAGATTGGACTCATAGTGATCCTCCTGTCTTAGCCTCACAGCACTGGGATTACAGGCATGCGCCTCCATGCCCAGTCTCAGTGGCCGGCTCAGCACACCCAGGGTTTGGGGCTGGCACGGCATGCAGTACCTAGGATTGAACCCAGGTCTTTGTGCTTTCCAGGCAGGCGCTCAGACTGCGAAGCTCTCTCCAGCCCCTATACTCTCTTTTTCAAATGATCTTAATTGCACTGACAGCACCTTTCTAAAAGCATTTTATTCCTCATATTTTTTCTAGTTTTTATTTTTTAACTTTATTTGATGTAGGTTTCTTATAATAATTTTAGAGATGTAATTTTAATCAATTATTTAAAACTTTATCCCTTAGTAAAACTATAACCCATTCACATTTCACATTTCATGTTTTTGTCAAATTTCTGTCATCTTATTTTCCCTTCTTTTGTGTGTGTTTGTACTTTCTTGTTATTTCTCGTATTTTTCCATTCTTATTTGGAGATTTTTACCTTTGCTTTTTAATCACTGGGATTTATGCAGCAGACACAATTCCATAGTGCTCCATTTGAATATGTATTTTTCGACAGTAACAATAGTAAAGTAGTGCCCATTTACTAGTTTGAAAAGACAGACTGACCTGAGGGCAGCTGTGGTTCTTCTACAAGCTGGTTTCTTGGTGGTCTGTGCTTTAACATGTTTTGCTCTGGCTTAGCAGATGGAAAAATGGAAACTCTTGGGTTAAGCAAGAGCCAAGTCCTAACGCCAAGACAGGATACACATCCTTCGCCTGATCGAAGTTAGCATTTCACATAGAAGTTCTGTACTCCACTGCCCATTTCATCTAGAGAGAGTGAGCGCCCTCTTCCCAGGAGTCCTGTTCATGGGAATTAAAAGGAGAAAGGACAGAACAGTCCCATTTCCATTGATTTCGCTGTGTGCAGAGGCGTAGTGTGCATTTCTTCAGTTGGGCTTCGTAAAAGCCCTTGAGAGTGTTATTGTCATGTTATGGATAACACAGGCCAAGCTCAGGAGAGTTAGCAGCTGTGCAGGGTCCCAGGACACCCAGACTGAGTCATCAAGCCATAGAGCAGAGGTGAAACCCTAACCTGAACTGTTGGACGCCAAATCCAGAGGTCATTTAATTACCACTAACATGGCCTCATGGTGCAGCTGAATCCTACTGTGTGTAAAACTGTCACTCATGGACAACTGGGAGGAGGCACGGAAGGAAGAGAGTTGGTGTTTGTGTGCCACAAGGTACAGTGGTCATCCTTCCAAGCTGCAAGGCACTGTTCTCTGGCCATCCAGCAGGTGGCACCCCACAACCAAGGGGTCTGTGCTTCCCTCTGAACAAAGCCCAGAAAGTCAACAGAGCTCTATTAAAAGAGCAAAAGTGCTTCTTAAAACACAATTGGAAACTAAAGGAGATATTTTAAATCAGTGGCTAAAATATTTACATATTTACATATTACTGTGCTGCGTTTGGAAGTAAAAAAGCTTTAAATAATTCATCAGACTCTTATAACAATAATATACTCATGGGTAAAAAGCCCTGGAGTGGTCTTTAATTAACCAGGCTGTGCAAGGTGCATGCTAACTTGATGTTAACTGACAGTAATGAACTTACTCATTCAGGTGGCCGCCTGCAGGGAGCTCAGCCTCCACGCCAACTTTGTCCCTCCTCTGTCTCTTACCCGCTGGAGGCCTCAGCAGCTGCACTTCCCTGTATCCATCTTGCATGGAAACTGGGCAAATAGCCAGTTCCTGGGGACACAGAGTTCCTCTGGAGGGAGAGGTCACCTCCAGTTCTTTGTCACCTACCTGTCCCACAATTGTGGGTGGGTTGCAATCCTAAACCTTAACTCAGGTCTGATACAGTTGAGAAGTGTCAGGTCACATGACACTTGAAGAGGCCTGTTCCTGTCCTGGCTGCTTTGGGTAATCATTGGGAGACCAGAATTACAGACCCCACAAGATGTACCTCTTTTGTGTTTATTGCTTATGGGATTGTTTGAGATGAAATCCTAAATGCTAAGGATTTAATCCTAAACACAAAGGTGTTTCATAATTTTAATTTTCTATGATGCTTCAAAGGGAAAGGGGGATACAGGAGAGATTTATGAATAGCATTTGTTCCCCCCAACCAATTAATATGGGTTTTAATAGGTATTTTGTGATGCCTGAAGATTAGTATAGAAGCAGGTCAGTATTAATCATCTGCTGGTGTTCAGAATTATGTTTAAAAGAAATGTAAAGTAGGGGTATGTAGCTCCAGGTAGTATACAGCATCTGCATACAGTGAGGCAGGAGGCCCAGGTTTAATCCGTAGCACTGCAGGAAAAAGGTAAAGCATACTGTTTGCTCTTGAAAACCTTTATTGGATAATTGCAGGAATTATCACACATTGCAACTGCAAACTGTTAAGAGTTCAGCATGAGACAGTACTTGTTAAAGTGCTGAAGTATGTAATAGAAGTTCTGTAGCAACCCAGTTAGCAAAAGACACACATTGTTAGATAACTGTTAAGGGTCAGCCACTGCAGGGCAGAAAGTTTTAGTGATCTTTAGGTAAAAGACAAAAGCTCCCATGGGGTAATTCTGTAATTATCCATTTTACAGAAGAGGAGACTGAGGCTCATGAGGTTTAAGCCTCCTGCCCAGCTCATGGTGACCATCAGGAGCATGGTCAGGATGCAAACCCTGGGCCCTTGGAATCACCCACCCACCTCTGTCCAGGCAGATGCAGGTCTGATGCCAAGTGTCCCTGGCAGAGTGCAGCTGGGATTAGAGGCTCCATGTAGGATCTGATTTCTGGATGACAGAGGCAGAGGTGCCTGTGTCATCTGGTCTGGAAGGAAAGAGATGGTGACCACAGTGGCACTTACAGTCCAAAGGAGGGACTCTAGGGCTTGGCAGGGCCCAAGAAGGGACCAGGGCACCTGAGGAACTCTCCAAGGTCACCTCAGACTTGAGAGACCAGGGAGGGAAGGGCAGGGCAGGAGCATAGTGTGGGGTGGAAACGAGATCCCCAGCAGCTGTGGTCCAGGATGGGGACCCTTCCAGCCTACTCCAAATGGAGAGGAGGTGGGGTGACAGGTAAGAGGACAAGCTAACTTGTCTTCTCTGGCTAAAAGAGGACAGAAGGTGTCAGGTGGTAGAGTCCCCGGAGGTCAGTGTCAGGGCCGGAGCAGGCCGACAGGATGGGGAGTGGGCGTGCAGGGCAGCAGGAGGGCTGCCCATGTCATCACAGGGACAGCGAGCAGCTCAGGACACAGTCCCAGCTCATGCTGGGCCCTGCACAGTCTGAGCCCAGAGGGGCAGCAACCACTGTGAGAAGTCCGTGAGTACTCATGCAGGAGCCAAGTTCACTGATGCCAGTAGTCATCTTACATAATTCTTTTATAAGCGAGAGATAGCAGTGTGCCAGGGGGAAGAAGGCAAGGTGGGGGAGACCCTACATGGGCCCTAGCCCACCTCAGGCCTTCCCCTCCAGCACCAGCTCCTCACGGAGTCACTGGCCATGCGGGCCTGTGTGCATGTCGCCAGCAGCTCACCTTTCTCTTTCTGTCTTCCAGTGACCTATGGCATGATGAGCTCCCATGTGTACTACTACACTCAGATGATGTCCCGGCTCTTCCTAGACACCCCCGTGTCCAAAACGGAGGACACTAACTTCAAAACTCTGTCTTCAACAGAGGACTTCTGGAAGGTATTTGTACCAAAGTCTCTACTTGTCCTGCGGAACTGTGCCTTTGGTGTCATAAGTTGAATTCAGGAGTACGTTCAGGGTCGACGGTGTGTTTACCTCTGTGTGAGATGCTACGAGCTGTACTGAATTGTCGGAAGCTACAACTCAGAAGGGGGTGAAGTCTCATTTATTGAGAGCTTTGCAGATCAGGAGCTGTACCATGTTGGGCAGTTGGTGCCTTGCACTGTCTGACCACCATGGTGGTCTCGTAGGCCACGAGCTGATGCTGCACTCTGTAAGTGAAGCCGATGGGCAGGGATGTGGCTGTGCAAGGTCACATGGTGAGCAATGCAAGAAATGGATTTTTCCTAACACAGCAGCCAGTGGTTCATTCTAGTTTATTATACAGACATTCATTTTTTACTTTTAAGGCCCAAGGGGCAGTTTGTTTTCTGGGACACTTTGTTGTGTTTTGCATCTTTGCTGACAAGGGCCTGTGTCCCCAGCTCCTAGAATCTACTGATCAACAATGTCACAGATCGACTGATAAAAACTGAGCCTACCCATTCTCTGGTTGTCACAAATTCCAGTCTTGCAGAGTATGAGCAGTGACTGACACCATGGGATGAATACTCTGTGGCACTTGAAATCTCAGGAAATAAAGGAAGTTGGAGAAGAAATGATTGTTTCTCCCTGGGAGATAATTTGCAAAATTCTTGCTAAACCCTGGGGACACAGCTGTTGATTTTCAGTGTTGAGAAAGCACAGTCCTGGGACCTGTCAATGTTTCACAGGACTTGGCCCCAGCTCACATTCCTCACTGCTGACCTTCTCACTCAGTGGGGCTGGGCCTCTGCCTGGGACGGCATCCTGAGTGGTGGCCTGTTCAGTGCCCCATAGACGCTGCGCACGTTGTGCAGAACAACAGCAGGCTCCTAGCCCACCACAACACTGCACTGACTGCTGTGCTCTGAGATGCGGGGAGGGGAGAAAGGTTCCTGGTGTGACAGAGCCCAGGTGGCAGGCAGGCTGGTGCTCCATACCCACCTTTGCTCTGCAGTAGATTTCAGAACCAGGCATGTGTGAGATGCTATTCTCTAAGGGAAGTTGAGGTTGTGGTGGGTGGGGGGTGATACAACACCCCTGTCCCACGGCCTCTGATCCCAGGAGAGAAATCAGAGTTGCCCTGCTCAAGTGTCTGCTCTAAGCCAGATGCCCTGGCCACACAGCAGATAGATCCTCCACCCAGATGTGGGAACCTCAGCGTAGAGGATCCTACTGCAGGCCTCACCCTTGGCAAATGAGATAATATCCATGCCCAGATCTCTGAAGATAAAGCCCACTCTCCCTGCTCTGGTTAGGGTGCCAGTGTTGGTGCCAGTGTTTCCAGGGAGCTTTGAGCAGAGTGGCTTCAGAGCTTGAGCCTTTCTCCAATGCCTCCTCTGCTTTCAGTTCACAGAAGGCCCCTTACTGGACGGGCTGTACTGGAAGGCGCAGCCCAGCACCCACTCTGAAGTGGACAACCGCAGTTTCATTTTCTATGAAAATCTGCTGCTAGGGGTCCCGCGCATCAGGCAGCTCAAAGTCAGAAACGGATCCTGTTCCATCCCCCTGGACCTTAGAGATGAAATTAAAGAGTGCTATGATGTCTACTCGATCAGCAGTGAGGACAGGGCCCCGTTTGGACCCCGAAATGGAACTGCGTAAGTGTCTGTGAGGTTCATTCATTCTCTGGCTGGCTGCCTTAGAAAAGACTCAGGCAGGTACCTCAGGGCTTGTGTGGAAGCTCGGGCCAAACTGACCTTCACCATCTCTAGATCTCTCTACTTCTCAGTTCTCTTTTAGTTCCTGTAGCCATATTTCCAGAAGGCCAAATTGTTAGCTGTATGCCCCCCAAAGTAAATTATCTGAGCCTTGAAATGCTTCCTGTAAGATGTATGGGCCCCGTTCTTGTAATATCATCTATTCATGTTCCCCAGTAGGAAATTTTCTGGTATAGAAACATTTTTAGTGGCCCTTACAAATAGATTTATATTTAAAAAGCAATGATTTAAAGTATAATTTCTATTAACATGTAACAGGCATACACCTGAGTGGGGTCCAGTACAGTAAATCGTAACATGTATGTGGTGTGTACTGATCGAGTCGGGCTGGCTAGCATTTCCACCTGCTTAAGCCATTATCGTCGCTCATGGGGGGCCTTCAGTCTCTCTGGTCAGCGCAAGACAGGTCATAAGCTGCCATGCTCCATTGCTACCCTCTGCGCTGGGGGCAGGGCCCCACTTCCTCCCACTTAGTTGTGTCTTGGCCCTTGTCCGACTTTCTCCATCACCTACCCGCAGTAGCCTTCCCACACACCAGTGGAGACTCTTCTGCCTTCTATGCAAAATGTTTGTGTCGCTTCTGCTGATGAGAACGTGCAGCACTTGCCCTTCTGTGCTTGTATCTCTGCTTCAGATCTGCTCTGCAGGGCCACCTGCTCTGATACAAGTAGCAGGATTTCCTTTCTGTTTCATTATTGAATAACAGCATGTTCACATAAGGTGTGAGCTGGGGTGGAGAGGGCAGGTCTGGGGTAGGATGCTCGCCCAGCATGCCTGAGGCAGGCCCAGGTTCAAAAGGTAAGTTTGAAAGGAAGGGGGTAGGGAAAGAAGGAAAATTTGTGCTAATGATATAAAGCCCATTCTTCTCAAATGTGTTTGTTGTTCGTATGTGTACATGTGCACATTTGAGGGGTCTTTTGTATACTTCATTACCAATACCTCAATTAATTGGGATATTAATGAAGGACAGTTATTCATTTTAAGATTATGATAGTTATTCTACAAAAATGGGGCAGCCTTCGGTTGGCTTCTTGGGGTGCTGCCCAGGATGACCTTCTGGGAGCACAGTGTCTTCTGCACCCTGATGAGCTTATTCTCCCAGTCATCTCCACCCGTCTCTTGGGAACCAAGCCACCTGGAGCCCACCTGTGTGAGCTAGCAGTGGGCAGACAGTTGGGTGGCTGTGTTCTGTCAGCCTCCCAGGGTCCACTCTGTTTACGCCCACACATACGAGAGACACATGTAGAGCAGAGCCTCTGAATAACCTCAGAAGGCCACACTCCTTTGTTGTAGAGGTGACTGTACATACTCCTAATCTGTAGTTCTTTTTTCAATATTGCTTTTTTTTTTTTTTTCTTTCTGTATTTAGGACAGGATATACAAGGTCTCACTACATAGATCGGACTCATAGTGATTCTCCTGTTTTCAGCCTCCCAAGTGCTGGGATTACAGGCACACACCACCACGCCCAGTCGCAATTGCTGTCTCAGCGCACCCCGGGGTTGGGGCCGGCACAGCACACCAGGGATCAAACCCCTATTGCTGCACTCTGCCTAAGCAGGTGCTTTAGTCCACGGAGCTATCAGGCTGGCCCTCAATATTGCATTTTATTTTGTGTCATTCAGAGAAATTGATACAGCCACAACTCACTGCCCCATTGCTCTTTATACACACACCTTCCTGTCCTCTCTCACAAAACATCTCTGAGAGGCATTGTCTCCATTGCATATGAAAAGCACACGCTGCACAGCGAGGAGCTGGATGGAAGCATCCCTCTTTCCAGTGTGCCTGGCCCAGGGAAGGCAGCAAAAAAGCTCAGGCTGATAGCCCAGCCTCAGGGACACAGCCCCAGTCACAGGTCCCCAATTCCACCGTCACAGGCTAAGACCTGCTTGACCTCACTAAACCTCAGGGCCTGGTCCCTAAACTGGGGCTGATTACTGGGAACCAGAGCCTTGCCAGCTTGATAAGGCTGTTACAGACTTCCTCTTAGCAGCAACTGGCTAAGGTTGTAATGTTGTCTCTGTAATGGTCACGAGGGCCCCATGATGTTACGTTTCTATTTTTGTGTTTTAGTTGGATCTACACAAGCGAAAAGGACTTAAACGGGAGCACCCACTGGGGGCTGATCGCAGCTTACAGTGGAGCTGGCTATTACCTGGATCTTTCAAGAACCAGAGAGGAAACAGCTGCCCAGCTCGCCACCCTCAGGAAAAATGTCTGGCTGGACCGCGGAACCAGGGCAGCTTTCATTGACTTCTCAGTGTACAACGCCAATGTTAACCTGTTCTGCGTGGTCAGGTGCGTCCGAGGGTTCAAGTGCCTCGCATTGCTGGTACTCAGCTGCATCCCTACTGTGTAGAAGCTCTTGCCTGCAGCTGGCTAAGGGAAGGGCCAGGATCTGGGTGACAGAAGGGAGGGTCGAGCGCTGCAGGCTTAGTGGGCTAAGGACATTTGGGGAAGGGACTTAGGATCCTAGAATACTGTGACTTAGAAAAACTTCTAAGTCTGGCCCACATCCAGAAAAAGTGGTTGTCTCACACCTGTCGCAGCTGCTGTAAGGCTAATGGGAGCCGCATGCTCCTGCACCAAGTCCCCTGCCCTGAAACCTTACTCCTGTCCCTGAGGTTGCTGCTCTCAGATGACATTTGTGCTGTTGGGACACAAGCTCGGCAGTGAGGACCGAATCTGCGGACATACAGGTCCGTGCCATGCTTGACACAGCAGAGGCGCAGGAAGTCCTTCCTGTGGCCTTATGAGGTTGTGCCCTGACCACTGCGGGAGACACTGAGGACGTGGACAGCGACTTCCTGGCTCATCTGGGAGCATTCATTCATTCATTCATTCATTCATTCATTCATTCTTAGATGCCTGAGAGATGCCTAGGCTTTATGCTAGGCTCTTAGGACACTGGGGAGCAAAATAAGGATTCCTTCCTTTGAGGAGCCTACATTCAGTAAACAGACAGAAGGGAAAAACAAATCATACAGGATTTTAGATGATAATTTCTTTTCTGAAGAAGAAAAGTGAAGGCAGAGTAAGGCAAGGGTATCTGGACTTTACCTTGTATGGCTTATAGACAACACCCAGCTACCACCCACAAGGATTATCTGCAGTTACATTTCCTCACAGAATAGGCATATGTCCTGGCAGTGTCTGTACTCTATCATCACTTTAGGCTAAATTTACCTCTGCTTTAATGGCCAGTTTTATTTTCCCAGTCCTTGTAGCAATGATATCAAATTAAATGAAGTTCAAAAACCTGTCACAATTATGACTGAGCTTTTCCTACTGGCTCCCATGAGGCTCTAGAGAGGATGGCGGCAGGCAGACATCTGGCATTTAAGTGTCTGTTTACAGTCCTCCATCTGTCCTTCCCTTCTTCCCAGACTTCAGGATAATCACTGCCAAGCCCATCACTGTCTTTCCACACTGCACTGTCTGGCATTTCTGGACATGGCTGACAAGTGCAGGGCCAGACCTGGGCAGCGAGCAATGACCTGATTCACCAAAGCTCTTTGCTCCCCTTTGGGTTCATCCCGAGGGGTCATGGGGCCCCTTGCTTTCAGGGATGCTCTTCAGAGAGTTTGGTTCTCACCACTACTCTCCAGCCCAGCAAGGAGAGAAAGAAGAGGAGCAGTCACTTAGTGCGGCCTCCAGTGGTCATGATGGGAACAGCATGCGTCCTCAAGCTCAGGGCTGAGGTGTGGCCGTGTCCCATACTGGGGCTGAGGGATGCCAACAACCGACTCAGTGCTTCCCAGCCTGTTAAGTTAAGGAGCCACACATTCTGTTTCCATTTGGTGGGAAGATGGTCCCCCCAAGGGAATCGTGTAAGTTTCTCATTTCAGTGTGACACCTGTGAAAAGGTAGTCCACCAAGAAAACTCTTTACTTCCAATACAGGGAAGCACTGAAGGCCAGGCCCAGCAGTGTGACTGAACACACACATGACAGTGATGCAGACATTGGGTACTGGGGAGGAGAAAGAAGGCAAACTATTTGGTGTGGATTAGGCGCTACTGAATGAGTGAATGAATGAGACTCAGTACTCAGCACTGTGTACTTTTCAACCAGATCACACGTTTGGAGTGTATTTCTTACATTCTTTGTGTTTCCTGGTAGAGAGGTTTGTACCCAATAGATGTCCTAGAAAGACAAGTTGGCTAAGTTTTACATACAAGAGTATTGTACAGTTTTTTATTTTGTTTTATTTTGGTTTGGGTGGGGGTTTTTTTGTTTTTAATTTTTAGGGAAGAGTCTATAGGGTGATCAGGGTCTCACTACTAGATCAGACTCATAGTGATCCACCTGTTCACAGCCTCCTGAGAGCTGGGATCACAGGAGTGCACCACCACGCCCAGTCTCAATTGCCGGCTCAACTCACCCTGGGGGCAGGGCCGGCACGGCAGGCCCAGGGATCAAACCCGCTGGCCCTGGTCCTGTTTGCAGGCACTTTAGTCTGCTGAGCTATTTGGCTAGCCCTATTAAACAATATGTTGAACAGCACAAATACTCCTTTGACCAGGGAGTCAGAGGAAGCCTGAAGAAGGAGGACTCTTTGGGGTTGGGTGGTCTTGGGCAGTGCAGGGTCCTCTAAGTATGGAGGTCTTGGCCATGATAAAAATAAGTTGCCCCATAGCTGGAGGCGACTTGGAGCCATTCTGTGGCCTGATGGTGCAGGGACAGAAGCGATGGGCTGCCTCTCCTGCCCGCATCCACGTGTTGATACTGGTTCTTACGTTCTTATCGCAATGCAGGTTGTTGGCTGAACTCCCAGCCACAGGAGGCATGGTTACCTCTTGGCAGTTCCAGCCTGTGAAGCTGATCCGCTACGTCACACCTTTTGACTTCTTCTTGGTGGCCTGTGAGATTCTCTTTTGCTTCTTTATCCTCTACTATGCTGTGGAAGAGATCCTGGAAATTCGCATTCACAAACTACACTACTTCAGAAGTTTCTGGAATTGTCTGGATGTGGTGATCGTTTTGGTAGGTTGGAGAATAACACCAGATTCCCCGCTCTGCTCTGAATGTGTGTTCATTACAGCCTTTCATCTGCTTAGCACTTTGGGCCTGGCTATCACAGAAGAGAATCAAGGAGGCCCTGTCCCTCACATCAGTGTCTGTGTTTCAAATTATTTTTTGTGTTCATGAGAAGCCTTTCAGACTGTGAAGTGGACCAGCCTTTGTACTAAGCTCTCAATTAACCACACTAATCATGAAAATAACTCAGTAATTTATACTTGTATTTGCCATGCTATATGACATATGGGGGAGATAGTTTCTTATTTTGGGGTCTTGATATTTTTTTCAACTGCTAGTAAAATCAATTTACATTTTCTTCCTATACATGGGTCAAGTTATGGCAAGAAAAAACATCCCAAGTGGAAAACTCCTGTAGTCTAAAATTTCCTACAAATAGAAATATTGAGCTAGACCTATCACAGAGCTCTGTATAAGGTGCAAGAAATCCTATGATAGAGTTATAGATGCAGGCCTGTGGCATCCTTTATGTGCTGCCTCTGCCCTGGACTCCTGGGTTTTGTTTGTTGATTTGGTTTGGTTTCGTACCAGGAACTGAAGTCAGGACCTTGCACTTGCCAGGCAAGTGCTTGTGCCGCTGAGCTATCTCCCTGGCTCTACTGCTGTAATTTTGAGGACTGGTTCATATTTTTTCTTCAGCTGAAGCACTTTGATCAGAGTACTATGATAGGTGTATCTCAAATTTTATTTCTATTTCTAGGAAATTTTAGACTGCAGGTTTCTTCTGCCACTCAAAATACACTTGGGGTGTTTGTTCCTGCCATGACTTGACCCATGAACAGTGGATTTTCACAAGCTCCTCTTCCTTCAGCAGTAACATTTAACCTTTCCTGAGGTCTTGAGAGTGTATGCCAGCATGCCTCATTGTTAAGCACTCTCCTTGGCACAGCTGTGGCATTTATTACACCTTCTCCATGCTGCCCACTGTCTTGAGACAGAACCGATGCTCTGAAATCACTCATCTACTCCCGCTTCTTCCTCACGGCCCAGTCCATGGAAAGGACGTTTTTGTCACATTCCAGAGAGCGCAAAGGAAGTCCTCCCACCACCAACACACACAAGCACATGCACGGGCACACGTACCCACACACACACACATACACACACACCCCAGAAAGGGAAGGTGGCAAGACCAGCTGTGTAGCTGGGGTTGTGCCCAGGTAGTTCTGGCCATAATGTGCACTGTGCCACAGTCTGGACATTGTCTCAGAAAGGACTAATAAAGTGTCTGTGGCCATGAGTCATGAGACAGAGCAAGTGGACGGTTGTGGGTGCAACGCCTGCCACCGCCCACCTCATGCGGACCCAACATGGCCCACATGCCTTTTAGTCCAGTGGAAAGTACAGCCCGTGGCGGCTCTCATGTCCACGGTCTGCTTGTGCCTCCTGGACCCAAAGCAGATACGACAAGGTGTGTAGGTGTGTAGTCCTGAGTAGAAGCAGAGGCTTGCGTACCCCTGTAGCCCCTCCTAAACGCCTCTCCCTGTCCTTCCCACCATATGCCCAAGCAGCACCTAGCATCCAGAGCACTCCCTCATAACAAGTGCAGCCTGTCTCACCCTTTTTATTTGCTGTGTTCTGCTAACTTGTTAGGGCTTCTCTTGCAATATATTAGTTTTGAACTGAAAAAGGAGGCCAGGGCTTGCCCAACACTTGCATTTATTCCTCCTCCGTGTTGGCTTAATGCTGTGTATCTAGACAGCTGCAGAGTACTTCGTGAAGACAGGAAAAAAAGTGTGGTTGGAAAATACACAATGAAGAGAAACCATAAAATTTAAAACAAAAACAAAAAACATCAGAAACCCAATGAGGCCAAGCAAACAAAAGAATAGGAAGTGATTTGTATGAGTGGCAGAAGACACAGAAAGCGTTCCTATTTCAATTGAGCTTATGCTATGACCTCTCCTCTGCACAGTTGTGTGTACATGTGTGCATTTGTGAGCACATACCCATGTGCGCACACACACGGTTGGGCTTCTATTGCTGACCAAAGCGAACACAAGCTTGGTATCTCATACACACAGTGGCATTGCTTGGTGCATGCAGCCCTGAGTGGCTTTCTGGTCCCTTTGGGTGAACACAGTGGTCAGCCCTGGAACTTGCAAGTGGTGAGGAAGATACACTGATCATTCTCAGGTAAAGCACTATATTTCTAAAGCACTACAGTGAGATACAACTCTTTGCCTTCCAGCTCTCGGGGATAGCAATAGGAATTAACATCTACCAAACCTCAAGTGTAGAGGGGCTCCTGCACTTCCTAGAAGATCAGAACACTTTCCCGAACTTTGAGCATCTGGCATCCTGGCAAATACAGTTCAACAGTATAGCTGCTGTCACAGTGTTTTTTGTCTGGATTAAGGTAACTTACACGTTTTCTCTTCTGGATTGTTCATGTTTTTTTCCTTTTTTTGCATTACTATGAGCCATGCAAAGCATAGAGGACTTGAAGCTGCAGCTGGGGCCACAGCATCATTTAAACCAAGGAAACCAGTGGGAGCCGAGCCACCCCCTCCCTGGGAGGAGACTGCTTTTCTGCTTCCCAAATTCCCCTCTAGATTTCCTTTAACACATGGTCACTCAGCCTGGGCCCAGGGGTCCCCCCTCAGGAGTAATCAAGGAGCAAGAGGAACTGAGACAAAGGAGGGAACCTGGGGTACAGAGGCGGTGGAGGGGGCTGCACCTGGACATGCTCACTGAGATGACAGCCTCTCTCCAGGAGACCGGGGAAAGTGTCACCTGAACTGAGACTGGACAGTCACTTCCTCAAGGAGCCCTTCCTCTTTCACTTCCCTCCTTCCCAAAGTGTGACGTGCAGGAAGGGTCAGGCGTTTCATGCACAGAGATCCTCTGGTGTGGAGGTGCAGGAGTAATCCTAAGGCAGCTGTCCACCTGCCACCCGCTCACCAGCTCAGCCACGTGTGCTACTTATATTTAAAATTAAGTAAAGATTCCATACAAATAGAAACTCAGTTCCGGAACCACACAGCCACATTTCAGCTCTCGGTGTCACTATATTGCTAGTAGTTGCTGCATGGCAAATGGGAATACTAGGATATTTCCATTGTCAGGCGTTCCCTGCAGCAGCTATTCTGGAAGGTTCTCTGCCAGCTCTGTAGCATCCTGAGGTAGCATTTGCACCCAGGAGGCTTGAGCTTCCCCCAAAGGCACCTCCTCACCTCCTCCTGTCTCAGGCTCTTCATGCAGTGACCTGCTTGTTCAGGAGAAGCCCTCACTGTACATCAAGCCTCTATCATAAAACAGGAAAAGTAGCCATGCTCTCAGATGAATAGGAATTATAGTAAGTGACGTCAATTACAGCAGCCCTAGGAAGAATTTCAGTGTGACCAGGAGCAATTTCTAGGGGACCATGAAGTAAAATTCCATAGTGGTTCCCTTCTATCTTGGGCCTCAGGCTGTGATGTCTTGTCTTGCTTCCCTCCCCAAATTCCACCATTGCATTATTTAGGCAAGGTCCAGGTTCCACCTCTGATCCCCAGTTCTCCTATTAAAGCCCTTCTAGAGCCCCAGGTCATCCCAGTCTGTCCCAAGCAGGGATCAGGGTGGCTTTGTAGAGGGGACACCCGGCCTGGGTCCTCGCTGTCAGCAATACTGACTGTTGGGGATAAAACCCCAGTGTTGAGGTGAATGCAGGGATCCAGGGAAGTTGTGTCCAGTCATCCCTTACTGGCTGCTGTGTGATAGAGAATCGTTACTAAGTCACAACTGTATCTCCTGATGTTTTTATTAGGAAGTTTTCCCTTTATTTTAATTACTTGGGGGAAAGGGGAATACCACTAATCATTTTCGCTATAATCAAACCTGATTTCAGTGTATTTTGATCATCATATCACTGTCAGCAAGGATAGGCAGAAGCCTGTACTCTCCCTGCTGTGGCTCAGCAGTCACTTTTTGAATCCAAGGAAAGAAGTTACTAGGAATTGGGGGGAGGGACTGTTATTTTTTTCCCTTATTGTAAAGAATCCAACTCAGTGGCATGAAGGATAGTCCCAGTGGTGCACCCATCCACTTGAGGGATACCACAGCATTCTTAGAACCCTAAATGTGAGGCATGGTGTCTGTTTAGTACTCAGTCCCACATCTCCTCCTGTCCCAGCCCCTGGTAGCCTCTGTTTCACTTTTGGGCTCTGAATTGAAGCCCCCTAAGTGCCTCACCTCAGTGGAAACACTCACCTCTTAACATCACACTTACTTCACCTAGCCTGACCTCTGCAGGGCTCGTGGGACAGCCTCTGTCAGACACCCTTCCTTCTCCACATAGAGGAGGTGTTCTCTCACCTGTGCCACCTCCCTCTTTTGCAGCTTTTCAAATTCATCAGCTTTAACAGGACCATGAGCCAGCTATCCACAACCATGTCTCGATGCGCCAAGGACCTCTTTGGCTTCGCCCTCATGTTCTTCATTATTTTCTTGGCATATGCCCAGTTGGCATACCTTGTCTTTGGCACTCAGGTTGATGACTTCAGTACTTTCCAAGAATGTATGTAAGTATTTATGAAGTTAAAAAGAAAATTTAATCAGAGATGGCAATACTCTCTCAAGGATAAAGACATTTGCTCAGCTTCTGTTTGATCAGCAAGCATTCAAAATAGTTATTTAAAATAAGAATTACTTTTCCTGGAAACAGTGACCCACAAAGGCAAAGTGATAATACAGTCTGAAATACTGGTGCTTAGGCAGCAGTCTTCAAGGAGTGAAATAGAAAGGGTCAGAGAAACCAGCACGTTCCAAAGACTAGAGTATCAGCACATGGAGCAGATGGGGGCTCTATGGAGCCATTTGTGAAGATTGTTGTTCCTGTCTATGCTTGCCCTATATTTTGAACTTCAAGTATTATATATATATTATATATATATATATATAATATATATAATATATATTACATATATGATATTTCTAATGTTCTAGGAGAAACCGTACAATTCAGGAATTTTTAGTTTGTTTTTTTTTTTTCCAAAGTTCTCACATATCCTAAGCCAAACGGAGGAGCACGTCAGGCGTGAAGCACTTGGCTCCTGGGCACTAGGCCGTGTGTTGGCCCCTGCACTGCCAATAAACAAACAGATGCTGTTATCAGATACCTGGGCTACTGATAAGAAGTTAGGAGTTAGAAAAGGAGAGGAAGCCTGTGACAGTGGAAGTTAACAGGGCTTTGTCTGCAGGGATCCCTGATGCATCTTCCTGTTGATAACAGTGAGGAAGGGAAAGGAATGTTCTAAGACCCAAAACCAACAACAGACAGCCACGTAGACCTCACTTTGAGTGACTTCAGACATACTGGACCTTTAAACGTAGAATTCTGCCTGTCCTTCAGAAATCATCTTTTTATTTTAAGAGCTTATAACTCACACCCTTGTAAAGTGACCTTATGGAGACTTATAGGTACCTCATTTTACCCAGATTAAGGATAGATGCCCAGAACCATTTACAGCATTAATCATCTAATAGTAATTATATTTAATATTAACCCCAGGGGAACGTATGTCATGTGAAAGCAAACGTTTTAGTGTCCTAGAATGCTCCGATCATCACCGTAAGTAGCAGGACTTCTGCAGACAGATCCACAGCTGCCAAAAAGGCCCAAAGCTGTGAAATCAACCTGAGAAATGTTGCATCAACCATTGGACATTCTTTGGTTTCGTATTGTGGTGTTTTGTTTTGTTTTTATAGCTTCACTCAATTCCGTATCATTTTGGGCGATGTCAACTTTGCAGAGATTGAGGAAGCTAATCGAGTTTTGGGACCACTTTATTTCACTACCTTTGTGTTCTTTATGTTCTTCATTCTTTTGGTATGTACATTTTTGTTTATAGTAGACTTCATGATTGCAGATCACCACCTTTTGTCTCACACTCCATTTCAAATAAAGACTCAAGAAATAGGAAAAAAATATCCACATTGTAAAACTTATTTAACATGTACTGATTCACAGTTTTAAGCTTTACTCAAATATCATTTCATGGAAATGGATGGATGGATGGATGGATGGATGGATGGATGGATGGATGGATGGATAGATAGATAGATAGATAGATAGATAGATAGATAGATAGATAATCTCAAAAAATTAGAACAAATTTATTAACCAGAGAGTGCTTTGCCTCAGAGGTACAATATGTTGACATGCTTTTCTAATGTACATGTCATCACTTTCATATTCATTTGCTCTCCTGACTTTTCATTTGTCTCTTTTTTTCTTTTAAGCAAAAATAGGAGCTGATCAAAGTTCCAGGATGGGGAGAGTAGTATTTGAATGTTTCCCTGGGAAGTTTAAGACATTCTAGCTTATTCAATTTCATACCATATAAACATCTAGAGACTGCCCACAAAGAATATTTAAGTCTAAAACCAATTTAACAATGAATAGGAATTCTCAAAAAATAATTTTTACTCTATTGTTTTAGTACATATTAACACTTAGGTTTTTGCCCGAAGTTATTTAAGGTTGTTTGAAAGGCGTCTGACTGTTCGCCTCCATCTCCACTGGGAGATGAGGTTTCCACTTTTAGTAAATTTTGCACAGATCTTTTGTAAGAGGTTTCAACAACTCAGTGGGAGGATTCCACAGCCACCCAGGAGCGCCTGTCTTGGCAGATGTGCTTGCGGATGAGCAGGGACTGGTGGGGCAGCAGGCTCATGAAGGTCCATTCTTACCTTGCTGTATGCAGGCACCGGAGCTGGGTGTTAGATTTACTCCTCTTCCTATGTTATAGCAAAGTTCCTAGGGCCGTGTCGGCAAGCCTTTTAGAGCTTTCAGTAATAAAAACAGACCGCCGCAGCATGCATGCCAGAAGTTCACCCCACTGTGATGTTTTTGCGGAACCGGGGATTGAACTCAGACCCTTGCGCTTATTCTACTATCTCCCTGGCCCCTTGACGTGCTTTTTTGAGTTTTTTGTTTGTTTGTTTGTTTGTTTGTTTTCGGAACCAGGGATTGAACTCAGGCCCTTGTGTTTGCCAGGGAAGCTCTTATTCCACTGAGCCATCTCCCCAGCCCCGTGATGTGCTTTTTTAATGTAAATGTCATCATTAGGGGAAAAATAAGTCTTGGTCACTCTCTTAATACAAATGCTACTTTTCCATTCCCACACTGCCTGAATTTCTTTTTTTTTTTTCAAAGTTTTATTGATAAACAGATAGCAATGAGACAGTTTCAAATCAAATCGGAAGTACAGTTTCAACAAATAATACGCTGCATATATTCTTCTTAGTGGTTAATTGCTGTACAAGAAGTGGACTTGTGATCCTATTTTCAAACACCATTAGAACAAATCATTCTATTCATTAAGAGAATGCAACTATATATCTATCCTAACCACTTTGAATACACAGATACAAAATGGACATTCATCAGTATACCCCATTTTTTCTAAGTTCCGTTATTGAATATTATAGGTGTGTAAACTCAGCAAAGTATTCTAAAAGAGTCCAGTAGCCCATAATAGCATTGGGTCTTCTGTTTAACTGGCAATGTCAGAAATTATTGACCTGAGTTCCCCACAGCTCAACATAACAGCATGGCTTTATTTCCTATATTTCGTCTTCATACTTTTCTACTGGATGGTTAAGACCAAGGTAAAGCAGGACCTATGCAACAAGAGTTGTAGCTTTTTGGTCTGAGAAGGTCAGTGAAATGCCCTCAGGATTTATCTTGAGATCCTGTACCTCAGATTGTAGAACCTTTGTCAGTGCAGCCATGTGGATGAGTCACGGCCATTTCAGAAGATTTTTTAATCTAGCAGTTAATTGGAAAGATTCTCACCCTGCCTGAATTTCTAACAACACAAAGACCAGGAATGGAGAGTCCTGCAGTGACCCTTTCACTGACCTTAAACCACCTGGTTGGGGCCAGGGAGATGGCTCAGTGGAATAAGCGCTTCCCTGGCAAGTGCAAGGGCCTGAGTTCAATCCCTGGTTCCACCAAAAAAAAAAAAAAAAAAAGAATTATAGGGGCGGGAAGATAGCTCAGTGGAATAAGCACTGAGCCTGGCAAGCGCAAGGACCCGAGTTCAATCCCCAGTTCTGCAAAAAAAAAAAAAAAAAAACAAACAAAAAAAAAAAACTGGTTTTCTCAGAGTGTCCTCTGCCAAGGGAGGGACACAACTGTGGCGTTTTGAAGAACTCCCATGAGGACTTGTTTGAACCATGTGCTTTAGTGGCAGCATCTTCTAGGTTATTTGGTCATTTATCAAATCAGGCACCAAACAGGAAAGGGAACCTTGAGGTTTTGCTTTTATCCTATAACAATTTCCATAATACTGCAAAAAAAGGAATTGATTGTTCTTCTCATACCACCCAGATGTATAGATGCATGATACGGATAGACAGAGAAAGAATCCACAGTGGTGTAAAATGACTCAGCTGAGCCAGGATCTCCCATCAGCCCCCACACAGGGAAATTGGACATGACCCCGCCTGACAATGAATGGTCCCTTTGACAGCTGGGATAGGAAGAAGGCTGGTGAAATTCTTGCCTCACACCTTCAAGAGCCTTTCTCTGCCATCATCTGCTTTCCTCCATCAGAGTGCTCTGACCCATTTCACCTAAGACATTTGTAGGCATTAGTTAGCCATTGGGAAGCAAAAATAGAATATGAAATGCCTGAGTTGGCAGGGAAAGGTGGCAAATTCACTAAAACTGACATTGTCTGCTCTTGGAATAGAGCACATACCAGGAACGTAGGTATTCTCCATGTTCAGTTCTCCAAAGTGCCTTAAAGGATAGAGACATAGTATCCTACTAACATAAGAGAGCCTAAGTTGTTCACTCATCAGTCACTGAATAAATATTTATAGAGCAGCTGCATTCTTCTGTTTGTATATGTTATATATAAATATAATAAATTACAGTGTTTACTGTATATCAACAGTACAGGGCAGTGTTCTAGATATTGTGGCTACCATGGTAAGGAAAACAGCCTGGCCCAAGCTCAGTGAAGATGGCATGAACTTGTGTGGAAAATTGACATAATGAAATACACTATCCGATGGCTACGAACCTGTTACACCATAAAAACTCAGGAGTATATGAAAGAAGAACTTGCACTCCTAGGCACAGTATTTTATTTTTTACTTTATTTTATTTTATTTTTGTATTTAGTACAGGGTATACAGGGTCTCACTATCTAGATTGGACTTGTAGTGATCCTCCTGTTCACGCACGGCCTGCCAAGCTCTGATTACAGGTGCACGCCACCACGCCCAGTCTCAATCCCCATCTCAGCATGCCCCGGGGGCAGGGCCAGCACAGCAGGCCCAAGGATTGAACACCCAGCCCCTGTGTCTGCCTAAGCAGGCGCTTTAGTCCACTGAGCTATCTGGCCAGGCTTTTTTTTTTTTTTTTTTCTTGGCGCAATACTTTAGAAAGTCTATTGGAGACAAATGGTGATACAAACATTATCACAGGGCAGGAAATAGAAAACAAAACAGGCTCTCACAGAACCACAGTAGCTGTAAGGGCAAAGCACCTACAGTGTGTCAGGGCCTGTCCTGCGTACAGGACAAAAATTACTGCATTGATTTCCACAGCCAATCATTAAGAGACAGGCTCCTAGTTTTCCCAGTTTATAAGTGCAAAGCAAAACAAATCCCATAAATGAACCTTAAGACAGTTGAAGCCAGGCATCACTCATCTACCACCCCAGCGCTCAGGCTGTAGCTTAGTGCAGGAGCCTGAAGTTCAACCTCTGGGTGCTGAAACAAATAATGAAATTAAATAGTCTTAGACTTGGTGTTGTCCAGACTGAAACCCAAGTTTGCTTGACTACAGCATCTTCATCCTTTCCACGGAGCCTTTCTTCTCTCTGCTTCTGCTACATTCCTATTTGCAGAGGTCTTTTTAACTCTTTGACACATGATCTATAAATCTTAACTACAATTACTTAGCAAAATTTAGAGTAAGCACAGAATTGTCCTTGTCTGTGTTGACTGTTGAAAATTGAACAGCTTCTCCAGACTACTTATAACATAACTTAGGTGAAATTTTTTAAATGTATAGAAAATAAGGAAAAATAAAATGATCCCACCATCCATAAATACACTAGCACTTTATTATCTCTTTTTGAAAAATATAATATATGGCTCTATAAGTAAGGATATAATATTTTCCGTGGCATGACAGTGGAAATTAGTGTTTTCAAATAATAGGATAGTAAAATTATTCATCTATAAAGCATTCAGGCTTTAGAGAAAAGGTCACTAAGAAGGCATATGTTAGCTATTGACAATGTATTTGAGTTTTTTTCTTTACTCTCCTTTGATTTACACACAGAATATGTTTTTGGCCATCATCAATGATACTTACTCAGAAGTAAAATCAGATTTGGCCCAGCAGAAAGCCGAAATGGAACTCTCAGATCTTATCAGAAAGGTAGGTTCATCTCTATTTCTCAGAATATTTTTACTTCCTACATAAAATATGGATTAGTTCAACTTTCCAAGACCTTATTGATCCACTGACATTGTTTAAAAGAAACAGATTACTGGATTTCAAGAATAATTTAAAAGCTCTCTGGCTAGAGGCTAGTGGAAATGTTGGTAGCTCAGACTTAGATTCCAGAATTTTTTATGCCCTGAATCCAGTTTTAAGTAGTCCTGTGGCTCAAGATCTAAGAGGCTCTATATGTTTTGGAGCCTCCTCCATTGACTCTCACCTCCAGATCCTGAGTTCAGAATAAACTGAAAGAAAAGATTATATAAAGATGCATCTAGTTTGCCTACCTCCTTAAAATTACCACCTTAAAAACTTTTAGAGAAAAATAATCACTTACTCTGCACTTTCTAGGGCAATTATAATACAGCTAAAGGAGCAGGTCCCTGGAATGGAGGCCACAGCCTAGAGCCTCAAGCATCTCCTTTCTCGCTTCTCAGGATGTGTTTGTTAAACAGGGCGGGACAGGAAAGCTGGGTGGCTTTGGTCTTCTAAGTGCCTTAGCCATTTGGTTTAGAGTAAAAGTTACACAACAGTAAATACAGATCTTGTTTCTCAGGATCACGCTGGTGACACCCAGTGGCTCCTTCACTCTGGTTGCTATTGGCACCAGACTCCTCCCCATGTTGGCTATGGCTCCTTTGTAGGGAAAATTTCAGCTTAGAGTAGATCCCCTGGGATCAGACCTGAGATTCGTGTGATCTTGAGTTCTCCGCCACAGTGGACTGTAGTTTAGCCAAGCTCCTATGTGGGCTGGAGATACACCACGCGCAGTTACCTGGCTTTGTTCATCAGTGCTAGGCCTTCAAATGTGATCGACATTTGAACTGTAAGAGCAGATGACCTGTGAGAGTATGCAGTACAAGCTCCACTCCAGGTTCTTCAGTCTACCCATCACCCGTCACCTGGGTGACAGTAGTTTCCTGGGATATTTTTACGTATTATATATAAGGAAGTAACAGCTATGAGATATTATAAAATTATATGATCCAACATGGTGGGTGACACACCCCTGTAGGTCCAGCTACTCAGGATGCTGAAGCAGGAGATTCATGAGCCAAGGAGATGAAGGCAACGTGGTGAGACCTTGTCTCTCCATGACAAAATGATAAACAGACAATAAATAAGCAGCCCATGCCTCAGGTTTACAGTATTCTTATGAAATAATGTATATTCCCATATTCCAGAGCAGACCCCTATGGGATATATAGTGATTTTTTCACTTCTGTTATCTAAATTTGAATGCACATGAGGAAAGGGGCTTTAGTTCTTGATTTACTGAAAAACGCTGATTTTTTCTATATAACTCTGTTTTCATTACTCATTCATTAACACACACTGAGTGGCTAAGCTCCACGAGCTACTTGATTTATAAATAAAAGATAAAGTAAACGCAAAAGGAGAGTAACCAGATCTTTTTCCTTTTCTTTTTCTTCTCTTTTCCTTTTCCTTCCCTTTTCCTTATCCTGTCTTTTTTTTTTATTTCCTTTCATAATAGGGCTACCATAAAGCTTTGGTCAAACTAAAGCTGAAGAAAAGTACCGTGGATGACATTTCCGAGAGTCTGCGGCAAGGGGGCGGCAAGTTAAACTTCGATGAACTTAGGCAAGATCTCAAAGGGTAAGAGTCGCATTCCTGAGGTCTGGGAAGTTCCTGGTTTTGAAGATCAGTTATTGGTGACAAGAGCATTGCTGGCCCAAGTACTCATACATGCTTTTCTTCAGCAGTAGGCATCTTTCTGGGATGTGCTGTAATACTGACCCCCTCCCGAGCTTTCTCCCTTGCTCCTACATTTTGACGTCTCAGTTTGGGTTGGACCACATACAGGATATGTTCACCTGTCCCTCTCAATCATTCCAGGAAAGGCCACACTGATGCGGAGATTGAAGCAATATTCACCAAGTATGATCAAGATGGAGACCAGGAACTCACCGAACATGAGCACCAGCAGATGAGAGATGACCTGGAAAAAGAGAGGGTGCGTATAATCTTGGGGTAGCTGATTTCATTCAGCACTCCTCATGTATCAGATCCTACACAGAATGGTGGGCTATTACGTATCTCTCTCTCAATACGTGTATCAATATCAAGTTAATTATATAAGATGAAATAAAATGATATGAATGTAAGAAAAAGTGAAGAGTAAAACAAAACTGACATGAAAATAGGATGAACACAAAGAAACCCTAGGTCAGTGGTGGTGAACCTGTGGAACAGCTGGCTGTTTGTCCATTGAAAGCTAAAAGGTTGGCCATCACTGCCCTAGACATACAACACGCACCCGTTTCCTGCTTGCCCAGGACCTTGATTATGTGTGTGGGTCTTGTGTGTCTGCTCCTCACATGAGGACCCTGTGTCATTCAGGAAGACCTGGACCTGGACCACAGCTCTTTACCACGCCCCATGAGCAGCCGAAGCTTCCCAAGGAGCCTTGATGATTCTGAAGAGGATGATGATGAGGACAGTGGACACAGCTCCAGGAGGAGGGGCAGCATCTCCAGTGGGGTTTCTTATGAGGAGTTTCAAGTGTGAGTAGGAGGGAATCGGAAAAATGTGGGTTGACCACAGTCCACATGTGGTGCAGCAGTTCCCCCATTCCTTTCAGTTCGCTCTTCCATTACCATTATGTTACTTCTATTGGTAATTTTTCTTTTTATAAAAAAATAATGTGTTTATTACAGGAAAATTAACAAAGAAATCAAGATAAAACATTAAAGTCTGCCATATTCCTACCAACTAGTGTCCACTAGTATATGTCTCCTTTTATGTGTGTTCATCAGTATTTTTATGTTTTTGTGATCTCACATGTGGTCCATCCTGGAAGATGGCTTGATAACAATATGTATATTTCTGCTGCTTAGGGGAGAATAGATGTATTGTAGGTCCAGTTGCTTTATATTATTCTATTCACCTATTTTCATGCTGATCTTCTACCTGTTTGTTCTGTCTACTTTGGAAAATGAGGTTCTAAGTCCCCAACAATTAAGAAATTATCCATTTATCCCTTCAAAATCCACAAATTGTACTTTCTACATATTAGAACTCTCTGGTTATATGTGTCTTCCTAAAGTTGATCCTGTTTTTAATTATAAGATGGTTCACCCTACCTTTAGTAGAATGTACTCTTCTAAAATTCTGTCTGATACTACTGTGGCCACTCCAGCCTCAGGACTGCTGTTCAAAAGCATTTCTCATCCTTTCACTTTCAACCTGCTTATATCTCTATATGACACATGACTAAGCTTGTCTTTTTATCCAGTTGGACAGACTCTGCCTTTGATGGTTTTTATCCATTTATTTTTAATGTTCTTAATATAGATTTGCATCTATAATATTACCTTTTGTTTTCTATATTTCTTATGTTTCTTTTGTTCCTCTTCCTTTATTGTTTAAGTGAATATTTCCTGGTGTTCCATTTTACTTCCTTTAAATTTTTTGGCAGTTTTTAAGTTGTTTTCTTAGTGGGTGCTATAATACTTAGCAAGTGTAAAGTGGTTTATGAGAACCTGTTTCTAATTTCTATTAACTTAATCCAGTGACATATAGTACAGTCCTTAGTTCTTTTCCTTCTTTCCCTTTTTGTGTTAGGTACATAGATGTATTATTCATCAGTACATGTTGCAAATCCAACATTGCATTGCTATAATTATCACCGTATAGACAAATTATATTTTTATAGTTTGTTATATTAGCTTTCTTTCTTATCACTTCTGACTCTCTTCATGTGTTTCTGAATTCCAGTTTCTGTCTTGAATTCTGTCTTTGTCATTTCCTTACTCCAGTGCAACCTGCCCTTTACTTACTTCCACTGGCCAGCTATTATTAAATGCATTACATTTCTGTATGTCATAGGCCCAACAGTCAAATTATGTACATATCTTATACAACTTGCAATTGTTTTTCTAAACTAGCAAAGAGACAAAAATATTATTTTATTTTATACTTAAAAGATTACTTGCATTTTGTTTTTCCTAAATATTTTAATTAGTTTCTGAGGACTTGCTTTCAGCCTAAAGATTTTTCTGTGGCATTTCATCTAAAGCAGGTCTGCTAGTGATGGATTTTCCCATCTGAATTCATCTGGGCCTGTTTACCTTCACTGCCCCTGGCCTCCTCACTGAGAGTTCATTGTACACAATACGTCCATTTTCTCTTGCTTTCTTGTTTTTAATCTTTAAACATTTTCATTTTGCACGTCTTGGTAGGCATTTCAGTTCTGTGAGTTTCTTGGATATATATTTTCTTACCAAGTTGTGTGGATTTCCAAATATTATTTCTGCAAATATAATAGTACATTGGTTTACAAACTTAATTTGTTTTACAACTTGGGAAAAGATGGCTGTTTGTGAGGAGAAGATGCTGTGGTTGGTCATTACTCAGTCCAAGCTTGTGAGTGAAAGCAAAATTCTGCCAAACACTTCTATTTGTGAACCAAAGTGTTTGCAAACAGAAGCATTTGTGAATTGAGGTGTTCCTGTATTTCTTAAAGTCCATAGACTCTCTTCTTACTGAAATTCAGTGGATTTTCTAAGTGTGTTTTCTTGGCTGTATACCCTTAAGGAAGTTCTAGAGCACTTCAATGTTTAGACTTTTTAAAATAACTTTCTACAGTTAACAGTTGTTTCACTGAAGAGTTAAACTATTGAATTCTAAGGCCACTGTTCTAAATGTCTCCAGTTTATGTTTTAAAGGTATTTATGCATTTTTATTCAAAATATGTTCATAAGTGAACCTACTTATTTATTTATTTGGTACAGAGTTTCACTACACAGCTCAAACTCGTAGTGATCCTCCTGTCTCAGCCTCCCCAGCGATGAGATTAGAGGCATGCACCAACCTGCTGGGTTTCAGTGGCCAGCCAGACAATGCCAGCACAGCATGCAGTACACCAAAGATCGATGTGGGTTCTTGCACTTGCCAGGCAGGTGCTTAGACCACCGAGCTATCTCCCCAGCTCCGTTTTTTTGTTCTATTTAATATATGGTGAACATAATTCTGTAATACTTTGTTAAAGTATACTTTCTGATAACATCTTAGAATTTCATTGTGTAATGAAGTCTCTTATTGTTTGATATAGCATCTTTAGTGATGTGCTATTAAAAAGCCACTCTACTTTGTATCTTTATAGGAAATATTACATATGTAAAACTACTTTAGAAAATTTTCTAAAAATAAAACACCTGAATAAGGTGATGGACATACATTTTTAAATTTCCAGATACAATTTGACTGGCAGAAAGAGGATCCCCTTAGCATTCAGCAACATCATAGGAGAGTTTATCCTGCCCTTGAGACCGCTTAAGAAGTTGGGCAGGGCTGGGGTGGAGCTCAGTGGCAGAACACTCGCTCAGCATGTTTGTAGACATCAGTTCTATCTCTATCAGTGCAAAAAAAAGGTTTAATCATATTGTTTAAGAAACAAATTCTAGGGCCAGCCAGATAGCTCAGCAGACTAAAGGAACTGCTTAGAGCGCAGGGGATCGGGTTCAATCCCTGGCCTGCCAGCCCCACCCCCCGGAGCATGCTGAGACAGAGACTGAGACCCAGTGTGGTGGCACACCCCTGTAATCCCAGCACTTGGGAGGCTGAAAACAGGAGGATCACTACAAGTCCGATCTGTGTATGAGACCATGTAGACCCTGTACTAAGTACATTAAAAAAAAAAAATTCTAATGTTTCTATTTAAACAAACAGCTGGGCTGCAAATACAATGACAGGGTCCTTTCCCCTCTAAACTCTGATTTCCTGCAGCCTGGTGAGACGAGTAGACCGCATGGAGCACTCCATTGGCAGCATCGTGTCCAAGATTGATGCCGTGATCGTAAAGCTAGAGATCATGGAACGGGCCAAACTGAAGAGGCGAGAGGTGCTGGGGAGGCTGCTGGAGGGCGTGGCTGAGGTAAGTGGTGGTGCGCTAGAAAACAGCTGCCGCAGGAGAACAAGAGTAGTCTAAGAAGATAGGACACATTGTGACACTGCTTTCTAGTTGAAGTATTGAAGAACAAAATGTACGAACAAACAAGAAAGGTTGCAGGCATTCACAACATAGTTTCCATCTATTTTCATTCTCAAATATTGTCCCCTCTGAAACAGAAACACTTTTTGATTCTGTAAAACACCAGGGAAGTAGGGCTGGCCAAATCACTCAGAGGACTAAAGCGCCTGCAAGCAGGCACAGGGGGCTGGGGTCTGATCCTCAGGCTTGCCATGCTGGCCCCACCCCAGGGGCATGCTAAGACAGCAATTTAGACTAGGCATGGTGGCGCATGCCTGTAATCCCAGCTCTTAGGAGGCTGTAAACAGGCAGATCACTACAAGTCCGATCTAGTAGTGAGACCCTGAACACCCTGTAGACCCTTCCCTAAAATACAGAAAAGAAAAAATAAAATACCAGGGAAGTCATGTTCTCTAACCTTCACCCTGGCACACTTTTCTTCCAAAGTGCAGACCAGTGATATCTGGAGGTGGGGCTGGCCTGGCCTGCTGGACACAGATGGTCCAGCCTTCACCGGAGAGTAGAATTTATTTATTTATTTATTTTTTATTTATTTATTGTGTGTGTGTGTGTGTGTGTGTGTGTGTGTGTGTGTGTGTGGCCAGCTCAGCCCACCAGGGGGCAGCCCTGGCTGGCATGTGGTGCTGGGGGATTGAACCGAGGTCCCTTTGCTTTGCTAAGCTTGTTTTTTTAAGTAGGTGCTTTAGACCACTGAGCCATCTCACCAGCCCCGGGAGAGTAGAATTTAGTGAACAGTTACTCCAGTGGGTCTGAAAACTGCTATTACAGTGGTACCTCAGTTCACAAGCTTAATTCTTTCCACAACTGTGGTCCCAAACCAAACTGGACAAGAACTGTATCAAATTCAATGATCCAGTTTAGTGTTGACCTTACGGAGAAATTTGATTCAGTTCTTGTCCCATTCAATTTGGAACAAGAATAAAGGAAAGAATTAAGTTCATGAACCAGGGAACCACTGTATTTGCTGTAACTCCCCAGCCTCTCCTAACTATGGATTATTTGTGCCCCAGATTTCCTAAAGCACTTTCTGTATATACATCACCCTGCCAGTGACACACAGGTTTCTTTTCTTTTGTGAGGATGAAAGACTAGGTCGCGACAGTGAAATCCACAGGGAACAGATGGAACAGTTGGTGCGAGAAGAGCTGGAGCGCTGGGAATCTGATGACGCTGCTTCCCACCTCAGTCATGGTCTGGGCACAGCGGCAGGACTCAACAGTCAGCCTCGTCCTCGAAGCGCTCGCCCTTCCTCCTCTCAGTCTGCAGACGGCCTGGAAGGTGGAGGTGGAAACAGCAGTTCCAACATCCATGTATAACATCTATGTCACCATGTGTCACCCAGCAGGTGACAAGGTGGCTATCACCAATTGCCAGAGAGTTAACTATGTAGATGCTGTAACTGCCATATGATGCTGGTCTTTGTGACCAATTATTAATCTTTTGCACTTTAATTTATTGTATATAAACTTTACCCATGGACCAAAGACTTTTTTCCATTTTCTCACAGAAGGAACCAAGATGTAAATAATGAGTCGAGAGGAAAAAAAGACAACTGCTGAAAAGCATCTAGAGTGGGATGCTCAGCTGCTGCCCTGCCTGAGTCTGCTCTCTGACAATGATGTAGCCTTTAAAGCTGGAAGAGACCTATCATGGGGCTGCTGAGTTTGCCTTCCAGCCACAAGATGAGCGTTGTCATTTCTGTCCAGTGTTAAAGGAAACGGGGTACCCTTTCCACTCAAGTGCCAATAGCTTTCCTATAAGAAAGTAATTCTGATTCAGCTGCCTTCCTGGGGTGAACTTTTCTAAAACATGAAGTGGAAAAAAAACTCCAAAGCATAGAATGGGTATGTGGCCATTATGCTGGAATCTATACAAATGGTTAACATAAATTTTAAGTACGATGTAATTTTTGTTATTTTCTCATCCCTAATAATCTGCAGGACTAACAAAATCACTTTTATCTTTCATTAGAAATAAGGTGAGTAAAATTGCTGGAGATAAATTACAGGAAAATGGTATTTCTAACTAAAACTTGAGAGAATTGAAAGGAGCCCTAATTTGCTTCCAACTTGGACATTTTCAGTAATTTGGTAGTATAAGTTATATTAGGTGCTTTCCCTTTGCTAGTGCAAAACACTGAACACTTAAAGGTGGAGAGATGTAGTGGAGCACAGTTGTAAAGCGTTCAGTCCATAGTCCACTGGCTCCACGCAGGAACATCATGGCGAACGCCCTGGTGGAGCAAAGCTATTCACTTCATGGTGGCTGAAAAACAGAGCTGATTGTAAAGCTTGCAGAGAGGAAAGGGCTGGAGCCAGCTGTGGTCCCCTAGGTAATGCCCTGGTGACCCACCTAATTACTCCCCTAAGTGTGCTTTGCTAACCTATAGGAGCTTCTTTATCTACTAAGTTGGCAGGATTAATAATTAAAAATTTACCCATCCATTCTCCTTCCCATGCATCACAACTCATCTGCAGCTGAGTTAATTTTACAACTAACTTAGGAGGACCAACTAAGTTTTACAGTATGCACTCAGCCTTTTAACTCAGTAAATATGCTCATATGAAGCAAAATTTTGAGCAAGTTTTAAAATTCATAAAGCTTTAATAAAGCTAAAGTTTTCATCTTATACCAGCTCAGGAATATACTTCTGAAATATTTTTGTGCCCTATATTTAAAAATTAGCATTGATAATATATATTGAGTTTAAAAGGAGGCTTTTGAAAATCCAGCCATTATCACATAGCTTGGGTTACAAGTTGTTTCTGTTTTTTGTTTTTTCTTTTTTGTTTTGGTGGAACTGGGGATTGAACTCAGGCCCTTGCACTTGCCAGGCAAGCGCTTACTATACTGAGCTATCTCTCCAGGCCCACAAGTTGTTTTTGTTAGGAGAAACTCTCATCAATTTATGGGAGCATCTCTTGCAATAAATAATAAAATTGGTATTTTTCAAAACTGTTGTATAACATGACCTTTTAAGAGCTACTAGAAGAAAGAGTGCAGTGTTGGTGAGGAAATCCTCAGCTGGGAAATAATGTTTTAATGCTGGGTCTTTAATTCCCAAATTCTTGCTCAATGAGTAGAAAATGTTGGTCTAATTTCCAACAAAGAGGTGAAATGACTGGCCCTCCCAGGTTGGCTTCTGTGGGCAGGAAGGATCCTGAGTTTCTTCAGTGTCACTGTCCAGGACCTCACCTTTATCTTTTATAGGCTGACACATTTATTTATTCCTAGGTACTAAGGAATATACTCCAGGAGTATTGGTACATTTATTTGTTGTGTGTGTCCCATGTCACTAAGTGCAAACAAGCTTCACTGTGAAGTGCATTCTCATTATGTAGTATCCATGGTACTGACCACGTGCCATGTATCAATCATGGTCACAAGGAAGTCTGTTTATTATATTATTATTATGATTAATGTGTTCTCTTGTAGGTTACTGAATTCTTTCCTTGTACCTTTAAATTCTATACATTTTTCATTTTGCATCACAGAGAACTCCCTCTTCATCCCTTCCCCACCATCTACCCCTCTATGTTGTTATAATGAAGATGTTACAGATGCAAGCCTTTCTCCACAATCAGGAATTTCATAATTGTATGATACTGAGCACTTTGCTTTTTAATAAAGCCTTGATAAAACAGATGTAAGAACCGTCTGTCCTATTAGTAAAAGAACAGACTTTGAAAACAGCAAGTTCTCTTTTCATGTCCAGAAATAATTAATGTATTTATATATGTATTACACCAAATACACATTTCAAGTAACCTGCCTTTAAGCACAGAGCTGTCGTCATGGTGTCTTACTGTGTTTTTTCCTCAGATAAATAGCTTGAGACAAGGGCTCTAGTGCTGTGGTTTATTTAAAAGGTAACAGGAGTGGTATCCTGGGAAAACTGGTGTCTTAGTCATTTTATGATCTTGACACACACTATTAGCCATCCATAACTTAAAGGGGAGAAGTTTATTTTGGCTCCTGGTTTTTAGAGGTTTCATTCCATAGTTAGTGGGCTCCAAGGCAGAAATGGCGTGGTGAAAAAAAAAAAAGGCCAGCGAGATAACTCAGCAGACTAAGCACCTGCTTAGGCAAGAGCAGGGACCCGGGTTCCATCCCTGGCACCACATGTTGTGCCATGGTGGCGCATGCCTGTACTCCCAGTGCTGGGGAGGGTGAAAACAGGAGGATCACTATGAGTCCAAGCTGCTAAGCAAGACCCTATACCAAATATATTAAAAAAAAAAAAAAAAAACAGTAGCTAGGAGCTCAGGAGGGAAGAAAGACTTTATTGATGCTAGTGGACCCCAGAGAAGTACTCTCCGAAGTGTGAGGTGGTGATTACAGAGCTTGTCCTATTTGCAGGGTGGTAAACAGGAGTTACAAGAATGAGATAAGATTTTACTAAGGGTTGTGGTACAGTGGGCATCTTTTGCAGTACGCATAGCTGGATGTGGCAAAGTTGTTTTTAGCACATTCACTGAAGTTTCAATTTGATGATAAATCATGGTTTAGCTGAGTTCAGTGGCAGAGAACAGAATACTTCAGCTTTATTGAACATGGCTATAGTTAGGAGTTCTGTTTCACTATGACTAATAAATACTTTTATATTTCTGCTTGTTTCTTTATAGAATATGAAAAGTACCTGGAAATATAGTAATAGAATAATCTCTATGAACATACTGTCTTGAGGCAGATTGGCAAATACTTCTCCAAAGAGCCACTGGGTCCTCTAATTTCCCTAAAATATTTCAGTCCTAACTTACTGCTTTAAAAGCCAGCAGACTACAAACCACACCACTTGATATATTCTCATCTGCCATCAAAATTCTGTAGGAGTTGTAGACAAAATGTCTCATCTGATCATAACAAATTGTAAGTGCACACTGACCTGGCTCACCACATATATGTTCAACTGTGTGTCAACTAAAAGTTAAAGCCCTTCAAAGTATTTAAAATGTGTTTAGAGAACATCCATCTGTGCCTCCATAAAATCTAGTTTATACAGTAACAAGATCCAGTCTCATAAAACATCACCATGTGGTCACAGGGTCTTAGCATCCAGCTACATCAGCCAGCTCAGAAAGCACTACTGGGAGACCATGCACTACTGGGTGCGTCATGGGTGGCACTAAGGGTGCCCACTCCTGGCCATCCTTCAGGGTCCTCCATGCCCCTGTGTTACAAATACATAAGACATTTTGCTTAATGTAAATGCCAGGGAAATCTCCAAAGAGCAGCCTCCTTTCCCCTTACTGAGCAGTCACTGAACTGTGACTGTTCCCTCCCTCCTTACTATGGCCTCCAGGATGCAACTTTATAAAGTGCAGAGGACCCATTATTCTACCATGTCTGGATCCTTTCCAGTGTGTTCCTCATGGCAACTTGCCATGCTGGTCATATTTCCTTTTCTTTTTATCATACTTATGTTCACATACAAGGCTTCAGAAATATATAATGAAAGCATTATAAGAACAGATTTTGGAAAGGTGCGTGTGTGTCTTAAACATCCTGATACAAAAGATTATCTCCTAAGGGAGCTCTCCATAATGCCCAAGAGCTTGTACAGATATGCACAATAAATGCATGTTACCACAGATGTAAGTATATATGTGATAGAGCTGGGACAGGACACTGCCAGTTCCAGTAGCCCAGCTGCCGTTTTAGACAAATGAAGGTTTTGTTTTACTTATGTCAGAGAGGATATGCCCGCAATCCACAAGCCCAGCACTTCTCCAGCCCACCCCCTCAAAGAAATGCCTGCCAAGAAATGCCACAGAAAAAGCCTCTTAGCCTGCAAGGAACACCTTCTCTGTTCTACTCCCACAGAAAGGTCTCCAATAAAGCTGGTTGGACAGTTGAGTTTGCGTCCCTTCTTTCTTGCTTAATGTGTACATAAGAACAAGTATAATTCTATTATAGGGCAAGAAACAAAACACCAACATGTCAGATACAAATGTTTGGTAGGTGTAAAATCTAACTTGGCCTTATATTTTTCTATTGATCAGTTTCTGAACATTATTTTAATAAGTATTGCAATAGGCTTGTAAATTTTTCTGGTTAATTATTAAAATTCAAATATCTACAGAAAAATTTCAAATGGAGGCTCAGTGACTACTTAGCAAACGACCCAAACTTTCATCCATTCTCTTGCCACCTTTTCCATTTCTTCTCTCCCCTTCCCCTTCTTTCCCCTCCTCTCCCCTCCCCTCTCCCCTCTCTTCCTAATGGGACTGAGCACAGGGCCTTTGTACTGCGCTGTACCTTTTGTATTTTTCATTTTGACAGAGGGGGCTAGGTTGTCCCTCTCATCCACCTGTACTAGCTCCTCTGCTCAGTAAGATTTTTACCCACCACACTGACCTTCCCACATTTGTACAGAACCAGAGCTTTACCTCTCCTTTAGGCATCTAGCACTTCAGACCCAGAGTAGCTGCTGACATCATCCTCTGAAAGAGATGTCCTGCACTCAAGTCAGAAAACTGCTATACACAGAATTTCAGAACACAGAAAATACCGTCTACTTTTAAAGAATGTTAAAGTATGTCTCTCAGTTTCCAGCTTCTCTCTGATGCTCACCTTCAAATGAGACTGCGGGGCTGACACACTCTCAGTTGCCTCTGACAAGCAGTGTGCTGTTTTCTAACACCATGCACACACTCTTAGACCTTCCCTGCCGCAAAGCCAGATGTACTCATGGCCTTCACAGCATTTAGGTGCCCAAGGTTTGGGCTCAGTGGCGGAGCACGGTCCTGGACACAGAGCTGAGATGGGCCTTGCAAGCCACCCAAACATTGCCGTTCAGCTGTGAGGCAAGCACCCATGCTATGATTTTACTGGTATTTTTCTTCTTGAAAAGGGGGTCTCACTCTGTTGCTCAGGCTCGGTGAAACTCCTGGGCTCCAGTGATCCTCCTGCCTTGGTCTCCCCTGTGTCTGGGCCTATAGGTACGGCCAGGGACCTGTCCCATTCAGTACTATTGGATCCTAAGTGCTTTCCCCAAAATCCCCCCTCCATGCCAGCTCCTCCTTGGCTGTGGGGGCTCCCTCTCCCCTCAGTCTGCAGGGACACAGGACTTGGTTGGCAGCAGCCCCTTCTGGGGGACCCTGCCTGCTCCCAGCTGCACTCATCCTCAGTTGGGACCTGGGGCTATGAGCTATGGCAAGTGGGGCAGGTTGATGACAGTGGTGGTCTGTGCCTGTCCCTGAACCTGTCCCTGTCCCTATACTTTGCCCATCTCCATCCCAGGTTGGAATGCTGCCTGATAGTCCAGGTGCCTGAGCTGCCCGTGGAATGAGCCACCACCTTCCAGCAGAGTCAGACCACCAAGAAGCCTGATATGGAGCCCCTGATCTGGGACAAACGCAAAACTCTTGCCTGTTGGGCTTTTTCCCAAAGGGACAGCAGCGAGGAGGCTGGGTGGTTGTATAAGACCCAGCTAGGGGACCCAGCCCTCCAGTTAGGCTTCATCTTGGTTCCCCAGGAGTTGGCCCAGGGACCCTGTCACCTAGGTCCCAGCCACACTGCCCAGCCAAGGGTGGCAGGTAGCTTCAGAATGTATTACAAAATGTCGTAGTGCCTGGAAACCAGAACCAGAATCCAGGCTAAGGGGCCCAGTGGGTGGCAGCAGCAGTGAAGGACACAGTGTCCTCCATGTGCAGTGTTCAGTGCTGCTCTGCGCTGTGCTGGGGTGGAGGAAGCACTGGAATGTGGCTTTGCACAGGCAAGGTTGGGGCTGCCGTCTCTGCGTGGAGCCCTCACCCCCACATCCCTGCTGCCTGTAGCCTCAGAAATCAGCATCTGCTTGAAGATGCTGTCTGGTTTGCATTTACAGACAGAAATCATAACATCACTCAGTGCTCAAGGGAAACTGGGAATTAGCGTGAATTCTCCTTGCAGTGCAGGACAGGCTCAGAGGAGAAGTCAAAGTCAGAAAAATGCTGTGCATAGTGTTTCAGAACACAGAAAATACCATCCACTTTTAAAGAACATTAAAGTATGTCTCTGTAACACACTCAAACGTTGGGCACAATTGTTCTTTTGAATTCATTCAAAAGGAATCCGTTTAAGGGCTCAAAGACTGAGGGAAAGTCACTTAGTCATTCTTCATTGGAACCACAGGTAGGCCAATGTCTTCAGACCTGCCTCTCAGAACTGGTCACACACCCTCGCAGTCTCTGCAGTCAGTTCAGCGAGGGTGCAGTACTGTTCCTTCTGGGGTCAGAGGTCACACATATGGTACTAAATTAAACTCAAAACACAAGGTCTGAGAATACAGCTCAGCAGCACAGCACCTGTCTGGCAAGCTCAAGGTCCTGAGCCTGATTCTCAGTACCAAAAATAAATAAAATCAAATCAAAATGGGTAGAAAATCTAAACATTCAAACAGGAAACATTAAATATTCTGGAGGATGAAACAGGTAAAACACTTGAAGATCTAGGTGCAGAAAAGGGTTTACTAAACAGAATCACAATTGCACAGGCAATGGCAGCAAGAATCAGCAAATGGAAATACATCAGACTAAAGGCTTCCATCCAACAAAAGAATCAAACAATAGAGTGAAGAGACAATCTATAAAATGGGGAAAAAATTTTCCATCTATTCTTCAGCCAAAGGACTAACATCTAGAATATACTAAAAACTCAAAAAA